GCTTTACCAGAAATTCTGTCGTTAGTTGTGACCCACAGCTTTGTCTCTCTTCACCGACCACTTAATCGCAGTTGTAATCGCAACTTACTAAATTTTAGCTCTCAACAAAAAAATCCTTCCAAAATCAGCCCCTCAAATGAGATGCTTGTTCTTGTGACACTAATGAAGAAGTGTGAGGTTGCTGTTCTTTGACTGACTACTCACCAAGTCTTTCAGAATTCATTTCACTTTACTTCTACTCCACTACATCTCAATTACAGACGTAAATTAACTTTCCTTTCCATAATAAGCTTCTATTTTGAATTCATCCTTCTGAAATAGGAATTTGACCGGCTAAAAACAACATTTACCAGTCCTACAATATTGCTACTCAATTATTAGGTGTTTCAGAAAGTTCTGTCGTTCACTTTAGACGCTCTTTTCTGAGTCATTTTTCGTTGCTTTGCCGTAATATATTATACCATTTGGAAGCGCATTTCTTGTTCTTTCTGAGTGTTGCATCAGCTTTGCCTCATAATGTCTTCCTAGCTTTTGCAGAAGCTTTGAAAAAACATAGACAAACGACAGGTCCGCACCGTCTTCCTTTTCGAATTCAAACTAGACAGGAATGCAGCGGACAAGAATCGAGATATCAGCATAGCGTTTGGTCTTGGAACAACAAATGTACCTACTGTACAGCGATGGTTCGAGAAATCCCGTAACGGCGACGAGCGTCTCGAAGACGGTGATGGTGGTAGTTTGGTGGTCAACGGCTGGTTTAATTCATCACAACTTTTTGGATCAGGGCGAAACTATCAAAGCTGAAAGATACTGCCAGGATCTCGACGAAATGAAAAGAAGCTGCAGCTCATGAGCCCTGGATTGATGAACAGGAGGGGGCCGATCCTTCTCCACGACAGCGCGCGCTCTAATGTCGCACAGACCACCCTGAGGAAATTGAACGAGCTTGGCTATGAAACTCTGCCACGCCCACCGTACTCAACTGACCTCGCTCCAACCGACTGCCACTTTCTTAAGCATCTCGACAACTTCCTCTGAGAGAAACGCTTGAATAATCGACACGATGTCAAATCCACCTTCCTCGAATTCATAGCCTCTAGATCTCCAGAGTTCTACGCAACCGGGACATGCAAGCTTATTACTCGTTTGCAAAAGTGTGTAGACAACAATGGTTCTTATCTCGATTGATAAAGTTCTGTTTGAGCCGAGATATGGGCGTCGAAAATTAGGCGTTCAAAACCGACAGAACTTTCTGAAACACCTAATATTAGGCCAAAAGCTTGCAAAACTCCTTGGGCCCTGTGCCATATATGGAGACCGTGCAGAAGCTAAAAGAACTTAGGTCCACCATGTTCAGCAAGGAAAACTGTGAATAGACGAGGAAACCAACCCCTCTCGAGGCGATCATCTGACTCCGACAAGGGCCGTCTCAAAGTGCTTCACACGGAGGTCATCCGTAAAACAATTCGGAAACTGGCTGGGAAGGTGAACTGCTACAAAAAGACCATCTCAAACCACCTTCACTCAATGGGATTTGAAGAAAGATTCGGACCGGAAAAAAAACAACGAAACGACTTTCCCAACCGATTACTTACAATCTTTCTACTACAACAACTTCATCCTCTCTGTGCTTTTGTTTTCCTAAATTTTTTCAACGGAGCCTACTGCTTGCTGGTGCAATATTATTGGCTTGGGAAACGATTGATCAGTGAAAATAGTTGCATTTCCTAAATTCACCTTCAAAAGTATCTACGCACCTGCAGGAAGCCGAGAGCACGGCGCACCCCACACCTACTGACAAACGCGGAAAACGTCATACTCGTTCTGATCAGAGTCGTATTTTATCCAGTCTTCGTTTTGGTTTATAAATTTCAGAAATGGCTACAGTACCTTACAGTTCTCTGTAGGGATGGGGTGGCAGACGATTAACACCTTCTCCAATGCCTGAAAGTCACGAGGGATTGAATCCCACACTGACTAATCAAATACTCAGCTTCCAAGCCTGCTGAATGATGTCGGACTCAACAACGAAGGCCATAAACACTTCGGATGCAACTTTGCTTACTTTACAATATTTGTTTTGAGGACGTGGCTCATCCCAGAAGAGGTCGTTAACTACCAAATATATTATTAGTTGAGCCTTACCCTTTATACAGGCACTGAATGATATGCAAAGGCCTTAGCGGAATGGGAGATAAGAACTGATAGGAAATAGCACTCTGTTGGGGAGATCAATGCATCACTTATCAGTTTTGATTAAACAAAAACTTTTGAACTGAAATAGAGTGTAAAAAGGCGTAACTATGGGAACTCTTTTAGGACGGGTTCTCCCAAAGATGACCGCAAAAGTTTAAATGCTTTTATAGCTCACATTTCCTGACTTCCCACCTCGAACCCATTTTGACCAGGGACCTACTGGTCCATTACTGCTCGCTAGCTACTGGTAAACATGAAACACTAAGTATGTTTTCAGGCCATACCAAATCCCACGTGAGGACCAACCCGTCCCCGAAGCAAACTGACGCCGCGGCCCCTCCTTCCCCCACGCGACCAACCAAGGCGGGGGCCGTGCCCTGCACCACTGTTCCTTTCGTCGTCTGACGTCTCTTCGCCGCTCGTTCTCTTTGCCTCGTCTCTTCCTGCCTGTACGCTGACCGTGATCGAGCTGACAGCCCGATAGCCTGTGCCCACGAAGGGACCTCTCTCCCTTGTCTAATTACTGCCCGAACTTAAATTTTTTTGGCAAGTATAAATGATATGGAATGTATAAGTATATAAGTGCTTAAAAATTGTCATTATGTTGTCATTATGCATCAAAATTAGCAACGGACGGACGAGAACTGTTTAAGTTGCGGCAATCGTATTCTCAACTCCTTTTGGCTTCAAATCTTAACAGCTTGATTCTTTCTTCTTTCAATCTCTTCCCAATACTTGTCACCTATCAGTCTGTGGGTGTTGCAGCAAGGATGTTCAGTTAGCAGCAAGCAAGGATTTTTTTAGTATTAAGTTATTAAGTAGGAACACATACTACTTAGTGAGTCGAGCTCGTTTCCCACGTTTTTGAGCATTTTTGTTAGTATATTTGATAAATACCACTTTTATAAACGTTTCCATTTATAGAATTATAATTTTATGTTCTAAAACGGCATTAACATACTTCCGGATGTGCATATATAACGAGTTTTGTTCAATGTCGACCCATTTGCTTTCGACTTTAGTCGTGCCGATTTCGTTTAATGGTGAATCGGTGTAAATCGATTTTCCCGTTTTCATTCCTAGTGATCTTGTGACGGCTAGGTTGCTACTTACCGCTGTGTCGTGTTTAATCAGTACTGAATCAGCGACTAATGAGTGTCTTTTCTTGGTCTCTGTTAGCTCAATTTTGTTTATTAATTCCTGTTTCTTGACTAGACGGGGAGAGCTTAATTGGTGGAGGTGAAATGTTTCTGGTTATAGCTTTTGATCTCTGTTTAACATAGCAATGGAAAGCTATGAGGGAGTAGGCTTGCCCATTCCTCTGGCTGTATGTCGTTGAAAGCTTTATCTGACTTGATGTTGTTTTCCCCTCGAGTGTTCCATGGATTTGTTTTCAGCAAGTATTACGTCTCTCATTATTGCGCAACGTTGCGTATTACTTTAAACCACCATCAATGTTTCCACTTTTTGCGCTATTAAAATGTTCTTTTATCATTGCCATGGCCTAATTTCGAATGAATCTTTCCGTCTCTCAGTCTTTTCTTCTATCAGGTGTACATCGATTGAATACACTTCTGGATTAGCTTAGTAGAATCCTATTCTACCCAGCCAAAACAAAACAGCATCGTGAATTTCTCAGCAATTTCGCTTTCTCAACGGCATCCAACTCGAGTGGAATCAATCGTTAAACTAGTAGGTGAGTTATAGAATTAACAAATAACAGTTTGAAACTCTATTCTTACGATATCATGCATGCTGAGGGGTAATGGCATTGTATTGGGAAAGGAAAAGTCATATTATCATTTCATCACCGCTTTCAAAAACATCTGATCGAGATTTTACGCCAATTATTCACGGAGGTTACTACCACGGTATCAAAAACAGCTAATTATTACCTGTATTACAAATTATAAATGTTTTCTCACCCTTTCCCGCGGCAAAATCATACTTTTATGCATTTATTCGAATGAATTTCTTATAAGGATTTTATTTTTCCACCTTGCCGAAGCAACCGAGAAACCTTCAGTATTGCTCGCTTTTGGTAGTTCTTTGATTTAGTCATGCTCATCTATGTTAATTTAAATCACGTCAATGATATTCCAGTGGGTTCTTGTCCTCGAACGATCGTTAAGATATCGCGTTTGAAAAGATAGAATTGTTTTCATTAAATCATTGAAGATTGTTGAAAAAGTGAGACCACCACTCGAAAACTTGAATCGTGATCGTTGTTGAGCGAATCTGATTTCTAAAACATTCTCCCGATCATTCATAGCCTGAAGTAAAAGAAGCATTTAACGCTCCTTCGCGCTTGGTGGTAATGGTTGGATTGCTCAACTCGGTGGATGATCAGAAAGAAGTGCTTTTTCCTGTCGTGTCATTCTTTGGGAGTGTTAAATTTTTAATCGTGGATTTTTTTTTAATTTTTTCCCCTTTGATCGGTTTTGTGAAAGCATTCGTTCAAAAAAAAAAAAACGAATTTCATACATAAAATTGGTGGGATCTGTTTGATTCACTGTATACAATTGATCTCAATCTTTTGATTTACAGTCATTGCGATCGCGTCTTTCGTCTTTTCTTTGGCTTAGTTGGAAGTATGTCAAATATTATGTATGATTATACAGCGGAGGGTAGTGATGATGAAAATCCATTGTACTCGATGTAAAAGTTTTTGTGAAGTTGAACTAATTCCATAAGAGTCCAAGCTGAAGGGCTTTCCCTGCTTGTTTGTTTAATCAGCGCTCGGGTTTTAGAGCGAAATTTGCATGGGTCTAAGAAAAGTACGCTGAAAATCCACGTTTTTCAGTATGTCATCGACAGCCACGCAGCGCACGTTGCTGCTTGCGCTGAGCGGTGTTTCACTAGCAGCTTTCTTCTTATGGTATGTACGATCAAAGAAGGGACGTGCACCACGGAGAGATATGTCTATTGAAGAAGTGAAACGAAGCGCTAGAACAGAAAATGTAGACCAGAAGACGGTTAGTTCCCAATACCCTGGTTGGATTCCTTTCATCCGCCATCCTTTTATCGTGAACGCCATATGTTGTTGTAAGATTTACTCATAGCTACAGTGATCCAAGCATTTACGTGTTCTTTTTCATTCTGATACGTCCTCGTTTTCAATGGTGATATATAAAAGCCACCTAGCATTTATTGGCTGGAAATGTACCTCTACATCGTGAATGCTCTTCTTCATAATTTCTGTTGGAACTCACGAACTCATTAGCGCTGAGCATATAGGGCTTTTTTCCTTTTGAAAGGAGACAGGAAAACGATTCCAGGAAAGTGTATGGATGAGACGCAGTTTGAACGGCGAGAAATGAGATACCGTGAGGGAAGACGAGTAACAAACGCATTCAAGTGTTCGTTAAGAGGGAAGGGGAGAGGTTGAAAAAGGTTTCCACACCATATGAGCACAAAGCAAAGAATGTAAGGCCATTTTACGGCTCGAGGTTATTTAGTGCTCTTTGGGTTTGGTGAAGAAAGACAAAGTAAGTTCACCTAAGGTGTAGTAGACTACGTTCGAAATTAGTATTTGCACTATGTTTACGTGTTGTTTGTTTGTTTACCTTGCTCACAGTTCTATTTGCTGATGAGTTTTAGTTATGTAAATTACGAAGTGTTCTGCTTACTCATCTGATGTCTCGCCATCGCATGGGTTGTCCGTCTAATGGCGATTTCTTTGCATGATTTGCTTTGGCCGGCTCTCGCTGTATTCAGCGTTGATGTGAGATAGAGGCGGTAGTGCTGAGCAATCGATTCCTAGCAACGCGCGAGCAGCAACTCTTTTTTTGTGTCGTCGCACTCGGCAAAACCACTGCTTCTTCATTCTCAATTCTTTTTTGTAAGCAAGCATAGCAGTGACGCGATTTTTCTCGAGTAGGATTTTATAAGGGATATAATTTAAGACAAAGGTCTCGCATTCGAGGAAGCCTCGCATAAAACCCTGGTTTTCTTTTTCTCAGGAGCAATGCTGTAATACATATAAGAAGAGTGTTTTGACGGCCTTACTTGCTGCTCGGGCGTTTCTTCAATGGCTGAGGGATCAAGATCACAATAGAACTTTTTCTGTAATACAGCAATAGGCTCTATGCTTTTTTATAGCTCAGTCTATTCTATTGCGGGCGCTCTTTGCAAATATGACTAGTTTGTACGAAATTGTAATCACTAAATATTTTTTTGTCTCGATTCGCTTCACTATTTGTGGATTTTGTAGTAAACCAAAGTCCTCATTGTAGGAGTGGTCAATATCTCGTGAGGAGCCGCCAAATAAAGAAAAACGAATAACTCATACACCAGGTAGAGTCGGCCATTGTGTGGACGCACTAGTTGTTAATATATGCTTTCTGTTTCAGCTAATTCGGAACCATCACTGAAGTCCAGTGTGGTGTCCGAGAAGCAAAACTGCGGTGTTGTCCCTGCTATGACGACCGCATTAGATAGCGAGCCAGTGTCGAATATTAGCTCACCATCGACTCCCCTTACCAATGGGATTCTCAATAGCCATGAAGAGGTGATTCATTACACCCATTTTTTTCCAATTGAAAATGTCAGAGAAGATGGCTCCATTATCTCGTCGTTGATTCAGACTGTCTTTGTTTGAAGATGTTTTCGTTCGCGAAAACAAACGGTTGCTTTCCATAATTAGCGAAAAGCACTTTGGAAAACAAATGAAAATGCCGTTAAGCTAATGCTACCCTATAACGAATATTATTATGGCTTGTTTGCGTATAATTTGAGTTACCGTTACCGGTGGTCTAGTTGAAAATAATGTCTAAAGAGCAGTTGGATTACCGTCCGCACAAAGCAGCTCGATGTTTGGACTAACTCAATCTAATGTGGAGGATTTAGGACAACCGTTGTTTTTTTTTTGCGTATTAACCAACATGTACTTATTACTTATTTGTTACTTGCAATGGGCACGAAGTAAGGGGAGGGGAGAGTAAGTACAGCGATTGCTAAAGTTTTCATGAGAATGAATAGCACTGTGGTTGTGGTTGGTCATGTCTAGCTCAGGTATAGAAATCAGAGCGCCCATTCTCTTTTTAGTTTTTTAAAGCATTTTTTATCTGAGCTGTCAATTTTGATAGGAATTTGTTGAGGAGATGAAGAGCTTCCGAACGTCGTTAGCGTTAGGTCGATTTTATTTCTCATTGAAACAACATGCTAGTTGGGTTTTCTGCAACTTAGTTCCCAACAGTTCCGCACTCCAGAGTGAGTCATTGGGGTTGGGCTAGTTCTGCTCGAATGTAACAACCGGATGAGGAATGTGGACGTACCATGTACTAGCTGCATTGTGCTGTATTCTGCGCAGCAAACATGTATTATCAATGTATTTCGAGCATATAATTTGTAATAATTGTAGTATTTTTTTGCGGTTTTAGGAGTCCCCCACAGCCTTCGACAACACAGGCGGTGAGCAGCAATTAAAGGAAACAGATGCAGATAATTTATCTAGTAAAGAGGTTCGAAATGAAGAACAGGAGCAGGTGCGAGGTTTTTTTTTTCTATTTTCGTTTCTTTTTTTTACAACATTGCATTGCTAAATACATTTCAATTACAACCGCTTTCGAATGCTTGATTTTAGACATTTTTCAAAGCCCTTTCTTCTCAAATTCAAAACCATATTGTTACGCAGGAATCTTTAACCTACTTGACTTTTGCTTCACAACAGTAATCCTGTTGAAGCTTTCTTGCTTTATTGCGTGCCGCAAACGAAACATTACATTTTGTTTCGTGAGCCACAGCTGCTTTTTTATATTTTTTTTTCAAGTATCTTCTCAGGTATGTAAAAGTGCCGTGGACCAACAATTGGTGCTGGACGTTTCCCATCAGCCCGAACCGGAGGTGTTTTCATGGTCAGACGAAATGGAAAGGTTCGTATCCCTAGATAAAGTTTCATTGTCGTCAATCTTGAGTTTAAGAGTGAAAAAAGTTCTGCACTTTGGCACACTTACGTTCAATTTTGATGCCTTTCATGTGCTTACTATAATTTCATATGTATCCTTGCTCTAGTAAAAAAAGTGTTACCTGGGTGAAAGAAGTTTTATTTCATTGTCTGCGTAAGTAGCATTCGTAAAGGTTTTCGTGTCGGATGGGGATGAAGGAAAGAGTAATGAAACAGTAAAACATTGATGGCTTGCTCTTAAGCGCACTCTGTTTTATGGGAGGTATTTTCCAGAAGTATCACTGGGCCCAGTTGCCAGCGTACTAAAATGGGTTGCCCAAAAAGTCAGGTTGAGGTTTAGCAGTGTTAAAACAACTGACTGACCTATCAGTCCTGAAGATTTGTAAGAAATTCTTGTTATTATTCAATTTTGGATGGAACTTCAGACAAAAAACTACCACAGCCTCGCAGGTTTTTGATTGCTCTTGAAAACTGAATTCTTATTTGTTTGATATTCATATATGTGGGTGTTGGCGTACTGCTACTCTATTATAATAGCTTCAAGCCATTAATTAGGAGTTACGTGGAGTCTCGTAAAAAGGACGAAGAAGAGGAACAACAGCAGGAGGCCAATGGGGCTAATGGAAGTTCTGGAGATTATGCAACAAGTGATTCACCTGGACTAGCAAGTCAAAATTCTGAGGTGTGTTACTTTGCCACTAACAAGAGGTGCTTAGATTTGGGTTCAATTTTACCCTTTTCTGCAAGTTGCGGTATTCATTGGGGATTGAAATTGCCAATGGCCGTTTATTTCACTCGTCGTTTCGTTCATGTTTTCAAGTATAGTACGAGAAGTAATAGATCATCATAATGATCACGGTATTACATATAAAGGCAGCTCTCATTTTTCGAATAATGGCTGTGAATCACAGGTGCTACTGTATGCCATTGCTTTCAGTGACATTTTGCTTTGCCATATTTTGTAATCTTTTGTTTAATGCATTCCCATCAGTCGTATTATCAGTGAAATCTCTGAAGAAGTCCGTTGAGGTTCTTACATTGCAGAAATGCAGTAGTGAACCTTGTATTAACAGGCGGTATTTCACGCTATTAAATTAGGAATCTTTTGTAGCCTCCGATATTAACAATTCACTGTTTAGGAGGCTATACTCATGAAGAATTTATTTTCTCATATATCCCTTCACAATATCTGTTTCGAGTACATCTACAGTATTTATAGCAGCTTTAAGCAGTTTATTGTTCTTTTTATGAATAGCGCATCCTACTTTTATCGTTTTTTGTGTTCTTTGAACATCTGGATGGAACCTTCGCTCTCTGGGGCGCGATTGATTTAAAAGTCTTTGTCAATTCCCCGGCTCTAAAATTATGTGTCATTGCAGATTAGCAGGCATCGTATTGCTCCTCATTGTCATATTGTCGGCACCATGTTTTATGAGCCTTTACAATACAGCGCTTAAGACTCCATTTGTTGTTATGTCCTTTGAACGTGCGTATATCAATCCATTGAAAGTATAGAAACCTCTCAGAAAAACTAGGAAGACTCAATGTGGTAATACCTTCCAATTTTACCAATGCATTCCGCGTGCGAATTTTCCTATTCGTTGAAAATCTCCGATTGGAGGATAGAATCAGGATATCCATTCTTTTTCCTACCGCGCGAAACTCTTAAAGGTATTTGATCGCTTCGGCTCATAAGGGGCTAGATGAATAATAAAGAACCACCAGGTAACAACAGCTATTCAACTGACGTTTTCAACAATATGTTAAAGAATTGTGACTAAAAATGACAACAACGTTTCGGCCCATTTGGATTTTTGGTATTCCTTTTATTGAACGTTCAGTATATTCATTTATTTGATTGTTTTTGATTGACTTTTTTGGTTCACTTTACCCAAACTCCAAATCCTAATGAGGATTCTATTGAGTACAGTACTGAGGTGAACCGACTTTTCATAACCTGTTGCTTCTTTAGGTGATTGGAGCATAATTTTTAAAGTAATCTCTCTAGTGAAGGTGTTATTGTTTTACGCATTGTGATGATTAGTAACTGTAATTATTATTTAGAATTTTCTAATATGAGTGATAAGAAAGCGAAAGGCGAGTGTGGTTGTTCAAACGCACAGTTAGTTTGTTTCGCATGTCTAAATGAGAGATTCAGAAAGACAATGCAGTGTAATAAACGAATCTGCCCCGAATTTCGCGCTGCCTATCGTACGGTTACGACAAATTGATTCTCTCCCACGGTCTGTTATGAATTCCTAGCAGCACTTGAAATATAAAATCTGAACGCATTGATGAAGGGAAAAGCCTATAGTTACGTTGAATTGCCACGAAAACCCAATTTTCATTCTTGTAAAAAGGCTTGTCGTAGTTGTCACCTTCATCACTTTCTGCGGTTTCCCAGACATCGTGCAATTCTCAGTCATGTAATTGATTTCTCATCGGTTACACTCTTAGTGCAGACTTAACACCCCGTTGCTTGATATTGGGGAGAGAAGAGTCGGTTCTATCATAATATTGGCGATTCTAATCGGCGCGACGGTGTTGCAGCACAGGGCACTTGTCACGGCTATGATCGAGTGCGCGTGGCGGGATACGGCCTTTCTGTGTGGAGACCTGTTTTTGTAACGGTTCATCGATGAGCGTTGAGGGGTCTTCGTAAATCAACACCGTAACCTTTTCAGACTTGAACCGTCCAGCAAATTGGCAACGTTGGCGCTTATCATGATTTTTTGATCCAAATATCGGAAACACCGCTGATAGCGGGGTCTCATGTGGGGCACCTGGCCATGTGACGAACTCGCTGGACTCATGTTACTGAACATGTGATTTCGGAAGGCTGCACCTGTAATGAGCTAGACATCCGATCATTGGTCTATCATGGGAACTGACCCATCGTTAGAAGTCGCACATGCAGCTTTAGGTTGCTATTTTCGATCCACCAAAACACCCTCGCAAGTGTTACTTTCCAAATCTATGAATGAAGCATTTGCGTGTGGTTAGTACAGGGATCATTCTTTGAAGTGTGAACCTACGCAAAGTTCTGAAGATCTTCTCGCACTTTCCTGAGCCCCTTCACTCGACTATTTTTCGCTACGTCATGTTAGAACTCTTCGTCATCCTTCGTCGGAACAAAAAAAATTACACGGTCAATCTAGAAGTCTGGCAGTAAGCTTGCTCAGGAAAAGGTTTCAATCAGTTGTAGAAAAGAATTTCTCTAGGAGGGGTCGGGTCAAGAGTATATGACATACGAGGTAGGTATAAGATGCGGGTTGCGGCATTACATTAACTATGGATCATTAACCAAGAGATATTTGAGGGAAGGAAGTGGAGAGGATGGCGTAATGAGAGCGCGTCTATGCATGTGTTCGATATGCGAAGAGAAGCCTTTCAATGGTGTGTGAGAAGCATTCGATTTCACCGTGACGCTGTCTGTTCCGTAATTAAGAAAAGTCTTCATTTGTTCAAAAACAATATCAAATTAAACTTCAATAAACAAGATACAGTAAGTATGAAGAGTCAGGGACTAACTGGAATAGCCTCTCTTATACCGCCCCTTCATGGAGAGGGTTGTTAATTCAAATCCAAGTTTCGCTCTAGATCTTGCAGGAGCGACTTGATCGATGATTGTTCGCGAAAGAGTTTTGACACTCTTCGTTTCTCGTCTTTGAATATATAAACGTAGATTAGGGCTTATGCATTCAATACGTGTAACGTTCGATATATGTCCGTATGTGTCTTCTGTGAAGACGTAAAATTGAGCCCCGAAATAGCGAGTTATACGATTTTTCTTGAAGTTTCAAAGCGTTATACTCCAAATTGAGATGGAATTCGGGATTAATAGCCGAACATCCTCAATCAAGTAGGTGTGGTTCAGTCAAGGCAACCAAAAAATGCATTGATTGTTTGCAGTGGAATCGATAGTCGTGATTGTGAATAGTCGTTCACTGAAGCCATGAATAGAGTCCACTCTTTCTCTACAAAATTGTGCTCATCTTTTCGAGTTCAAAGACTTTTTTCTTGGACACTTGCGTGCTAGTTTAGTTGTTTCATGCTGAGTAAAGAAAAAGAAAAATACTGTTCAGATAAGAAGTGAAGAGGAACTCCAGTAGAGTACTTTCCTTATTTCTTGGAAGATTTGTGGCAGAAGAAAAAAAGCGTCTTTTGCTACGTGATTTGGGGTTTCGCTCTATTTTTTATAGCAGAGATCTTTTAAAAAAATCGGCAGCCTGCATCAAAGTGAGAGTGTTGAATGGGAGAAAGTTCGCTATGAAAAATGCTACCCTTCGTCGATACGACTAGGATGTCTGCTCCGAATGGTCCAATATCGATCAGATTACCAACACATGAGCGGGTTCCCAAAGTCATGCCCACACCCCTCACAGATCGTTATTTTTACCAAATCTACCGTAAAGTACGGTAGCGTTGTACTTGGGTTACCCTTGCTGTATTCATTGGAGGAAAATGTTCCCAATCCGTTGTTAGTCTATCATGTTCTGTTTGTCGTGTGGGTGTCTGAATCAATAGTACATGTTTGGTGTTTACTATTGTACGTAGTCATACAATCATCGATTAAACGAAATGTCGGCGGCTACCTTTCTAGAAACACAATGGATCCGCCTCGTCTATTCGTTGAAGCAAATACAAATTGCGTTTTTTAATGTGCAACCTCTGATTTCCTCTTTTTGCCGGAAAGCATGTCAAAGATTAAAGGTTCGAAGAGCGGGTCAACGTATTTGCTACCATTTGATCATATCGGAAACTTCGTTGACATCGTAAACGAAGGGCATAGATAAGAAGGCCTCTGTGGAGATAGGAATAGTTGCAAGTGAAGTATCTCTTAACAGAAACAGAAGCCAGGTGCAAAGATCAAAGTAGGAAACACCACCCCTACCTTTGCTCCCATACTTGGAAANAAACGATATTGAGCAAATTTCCATGAGTAATATGAAGGAGAGCAAAATCAAAATGGGCAGTAATATTTTGCTGTCGACTTTCTTTATAACTGTAATTTTTTGCCATCTCATTTTCATGTTTTGCAGTCATTTTTTAGTCTCATGGACTCATTTTTTGTGGGAAGGTAAATGGCAAGCGGTTTCTCTAGGGAATAATCTCCCGTAATCTCATGCTTTTCTACGACCCATTGTGATTCTGTGACTGCTCATTAAATCGCGCCACTGCCTAGAAATGCGGAATGGCCGCGAGCTCAGTGCCTGTTGGCGGGATGCCAGCTGTGTCTGGAAAATTGCCAACATGCGCTCTTCGCCAGTTATCAATGTCGTGGGTGGGCTACGACCGGTGTCATACGTACGTATCGATCGATCGGCAACCATGATTGTCCCTCTCTGCCTCTTCTGGCATTCGTTTTCCATTCTTGTCACGCGTTTTCGTTCACAATGATTTTTGTCTCGTGCCCTTCTCCATGTGTCATGTATCTTGTTTGTTGTGCCGATGGCGATGCTTCCCAAGTGCTTTCCCAGCCAAGTACAAGTTTGTTACAAAGTTCATTTCGTCATCACCCGTGCAGACAGCCTGCAATTTTGATCTTCGGATCATTTTTTTCACTGCCACGAATCCGTCCCAACCGACACCATCGGTGGTTGCACTATTGCGCTGACACGCCCCCGTCGTCCGTCTCTCACCATCACACGCTCTTTGACCGTTTTCACGTCTGCGCTTCCATCGTCGTCTCGATGCCCAGCTTAGCGCTCTTCACGTCGGCGCTCTCGCTTCCACGTGCAATAGCGTGCCACGAGGCCGCGCCCCCAACTTGGCCACCGTCACTTTCTGAAGGCTTTCACTTCGTGTGGGGTGGTGGTTTTCACGCCCATATCATCACCACAGGGTGCTCGTAAGATCTGATCGTTAATTTAGTGATGTTTGTGCACCCACTACTGCCACCACTTGCTTTCATTCCCACCCATATTCCGCCGCCACCACCACCGCACCCACGTCCACCTTCATCGCCATCGTCAACCGCGCGGCAACTACTTTTGCCACCGCCGGTACCACCGCCATTCCCGTTTCCGTTTTATATTCGCCCACCATCACGTTTTCCAAATAGCTCAGGATTGGCAAGAGCTGTATCGCCTCTTCCTCTTTCACTACCTCTAACCATAACCTCGCTGAAGTCCAACAAGAATATGCGACGACGAAGTAGTGGCTCGTCAGCACAGTCAATGAGTTGTGCAGCAAGCACTTCTTCGGCATCAAATTGCGAGGCGGTAAGCTTTCACGTTCGGCTACTACGTTTCTTCTGTTCCTCACTTTTGGCTCTCAAATTTTCTTTTAAACTTATGTATCAACTGACTTCACTTTAATGCTTTTCTAGATTGAGGTATTATGATAAGGGCTTTTTTGCCTAACTCATAAGCACAAGTCTTTTTTTTTTTTGCTCCTTACTTATGTTCATCCTTAACGAAGGGGAAATAATATTGTACATACCCTCTGATCAGTTTTATGCGGCTTTTGATTCATTCCAAAGTTGCGTCAGTGAAGTGCAAAGTAATCGAAACGCTATGAGAACAAATGGTCGCCATTTATGCAATGTCTTCTAAGCGTCATGCATTTTTCATGTTTTTACTTTTTAAATTTTTTTTTACCAAAAGTTCAAATGCTAGAACCAACAACAACGCTCACTATCATGATCATACATTTATGGGTGAAAGTGTAACTAAAAAAGTTAGTACCCATTAAGGACTACCAAGGTTTAAAACAAAGAATCTAAGCACCTCTCAAATAAACTCTTTTTACGTTTTTCTTTATCTTCCGCATCATCCCAACTCTCTTAATGTCTAGGTATCATCACAAGATTCGGGGCGTGCAACGGGAGGATTAGCATCCTCGCTTTCCCCAATGGATGAAGCCGGAGATGTCCTTCCGATGTACGAATTCGAGATTCCTAACACCTTAGTGGGTTTGGTAATTGGAATCAAAGGCAAAACAATAAAGGTGCGTGCGATTTCAACTTTGAAAAATTATCAGGTTCGAGGCGTTCCACCGATGTAGTTTTTTATAGGAGCTGAGTTCAAGAACTGATGTCCGAATGCTTATACGTCAACATCACACGCCAGAGAAGGTGGATACTCACCAAATATGTCAAGTAGGTTCTTCCGTCATTTGGTTTGCATTGCTTCTATCTCCAGTGCTTTTGTTATGTATGCTCTGACGACATTTTCAGGTACGGGGAAAGCGTGAGCAGATCAATCGCTGTCTGCAAATGTTGCGCAGACGATTCCCTCCAGCACGATTCCCGGAATTAAATTTGCAGCCGGTTTTACCTCCACCTCTTGCAAGTAATTTGTTTGACGCGCTAGCTTCACAACCCAGCTGGGTACGTCTTTAATTACGCGATTGATTCTTCACTTTCAACTCTGTTAGATTCTTGTGTTTTTCAGCTTACTCTTCCGGATGCTATACCTTGTGAAGTTGTATGCTCTTCGGTTATCGATCCTGGACATTTCTTCTTACAACAACCGACCCATCCCTCGTTTTCATCCTTATCCCATCTCGACATGTATATGATACGCTTGTACAGTCAAGGAACAGATATTCCTGACTTGCCGAAACCTTGTCAAAGTAAGCCGGTCTTTTTACTGTAACCAACAAAAGAAAGATTGTCAATCATTCCAACAATTCCATCGTTGAATATATCTTTGCAGCTGGCCTTCTTTGCGCTGCTCCTGTCCTTGGAGCATGGTTCCGCGCAGTGACTGTGAGTTACTATCCCGAGAGCGATGAAGTTATGCTGAGATTTGTAGACTATGGAGGCTATACTAGATTACCAAGAAGTGAACTGCGACAAATTAGGTACCGGTCCATTTAAATCTCCTTTTCATAGTCCCCGCTACTTTTCTGCAAAGCTATTATCGCCGCTTATATTCACATTTCAGGACGGATTTAATGTCTTTGCCGTTCCAAGCAATTGAATGTTATTTAGCACACGTTCAGCCAGTTGATGGTATGCTCATTTTCTCTATTTCGCATTCTCAAGTTTTTTTTGATTCAATTTTATGCTTCCTCGTAGAGTTCCTTCATATTCACTTAGGAGGCTATTTTTCTAGGTTTTAATATTGCTCCTTTATTGTGTGATTACAAACTTTCAAATGTCCATTATTCTTGTGTGTATATTCCATGGTTGAAATGGTTGTAGATGCGCCTTTGGAGTGTTCTATCGGTTAAATTGTTCTACTTTCCTAACAGTGAATTGTTTTGCAGGCACGTGGCAATGGGGCGAAGCAGCGTTTGCCCATTTCCAAAAGTTATGTATGGGAAAAGTCATCAATGCAACAGTGGTTGGTTTCAATGTCCAAGATAAAGTGCCCATGGTTGAGTTGACTGTATTGGATGAAGAAGGCAAGGTGAGCACATACGTCGTTATTTTTTTCTGACTCCGTTCCGTCGGTCTGCTACTATCCTAGTTGCGAACTGTGTGTTCAGCCCATACGCGTGGACAAGGATTTGATGGAAGCCGGGTTCGCAAAAGCGTCCGATCCATCAAAATTGCAAAAAGTAACGTCAACTAAGGGCCGTCCATTGTCAACAAATCCTACGCCTATGGTAGCTGCTGTATGACATTGAGACCTTTTGTAATGTTGAGTCTTGCCTCTTAATGGTAACACGAAACGTTTCTGTACTCTACATTCGATGACTTGATCAGCCCTACAGATTTCTCATAACTACTACATACGACGTATAGATACGTATGCATGTGCGCAGTCACGACAACGTTTCTAGATCTAGACTCTAGCCGCCCATAGTGTTTAGCTGTTTTGTTGTGTTTGTGGTTGGTTGTTTTTATTATTTTTCTTATCGGTTCCTGGTTCTTCTATCGTTGGTTATATATTTCCCGTTCAATCCTACCACATTCTGTTGTTTATAGTCTATAGGCAGAGTTTATCCGCCCGGTCTGCTATGTGTCCCACAGTTGCCTTTTCGCCAGTTTGCTATCCTATGGTTCTGTCCTCGACAAAAATCATATTCGTCACTTCCTGTTCTAGAATCGACCTCAACGTCGATGATTTTTATCCTGTTCCTATTCCTGAATTGACTGTTCGACGGAATTTCTTCATAAGATTTGTTGATTTGTTGACTGAATATCTAATCACTGACTATCATTGTTTTAGTAGTTTAGACAGAGATGTCGTCCAGTAATGGACCTGACTGACGGATATACTGTATTTACCGATTTATATGCCGGTAACGGCAATCCGGATCGTAGCTGATCCCCCTTTTCCGTGCCGTCATAGAACGTTTTTCCTCTTTCATCTGATCGCAGACAGTCTGTACGGAAAGACCTGCCGACTTTCCTCACCCTCTAATACATGTATATTCTTTTCGTCCCCAATAGGATTGATTCCCAAACATTAGCTTCGTACGACTCATTATTTTACCGCTTTTGATAATCGTTTCGAAAAAAGGCTACTATTTCACGTGTTCTTGTTTGTTGTTGATTTCGGATTGGTGGTGTTTTAGTTACTAATTATTTAGTAATTAATATGTACAAAAAGATTTCCCAAGTACTAGAAGAGAATGTTCAGAAGAGCCTGGGTACCGTACGAAGATAACATCGTAGAGCCTGAGCAAACTGTGTTTGAGTTTTTTCTTATGTAGTGGTTCGGCTTATGAAATTAATTGAGTTTTATTCAAACACTAATTGTTTATTAAATAAACATTAAAGTTTCGAGTGTTTCGTAGAGGAATGTCAGTTGCTAGTGTTTGTGTCAATCGTGCATATTGTGCTTTTAAGTTTTTTGAAATTCTGTTCCAACCGAAATAATTTCTGCTTTCTGATTGAGATTTTTTTGAATCTCTTTCAAATTGGATAGCTAATTCCTGGTTCCATTGAGCAATTCGTCAATGTTGGGAATTTGGGGTATACTAGATTTTTTTCCTGCTACTCAGGCTCTTCTGGAATATTCTTTTTCACTAATATAACGGTAGAAGTAGATTGGATTTATTGGTAAAACTGACTAAGCAATTTCAGTAAGAGATCCAAGTGTCTGAATCCTTAAGTAACTTAGTAGGCTAACTTAATTTGTCTGGTTTTGAGGGCTGTGCTTTATCAAAAGCGAAAGATGATGGAACCTAGCCAACTCTGGAGAGGCGGAACTAATGGCCCTGCAGTATTCGGCCCAATCTCCCGGAAGTTATCGTGGGAATAGCAAGCTGCAGCTTTGAAAAATGATACACACAGGAAATCATTCAAATATTTATCACAGCAGCATTATGTACAACTGACTTTCGGGAGGAATTTATGTTCACCCAAACATGTGTGGCCTACATAACTGCTTATTAGAAAAGCACTGTATCAGTGTGTGTGGATAGAAAAATGGAAATGAATCAGTTGACTAAAACATTTAAAGCTATCATCTCGTCAAGTGATCAGTAAATGAAAACATACTGTAAGTGAAAAAAGAAAGAAAAGAGGTCAATATTCACAGATCATCGGGTTGTCAGAAGGGCATGGATGACTCAGGCAGGGTGAACAGCGAACTAGCGCGCCTTGGCAGTGTCCCGTATGTGTGGATAGAGAGGGCTGATGAGGTGGTTATGGGGGTGAATAGGTGGAATCGCCTGTTGGAATGGCTGATTTGACATAGCTCAAGTGGATGAAACGATGACGGCTGCAATTAATACTGAAAGACGTAATCAGGCACACTTACTTTGAATCAGGGGAATGATGATGTTCATCATAAACTACTGCGGAACTAGACGGTCTCTAATTTGCGCCGGCGGTTGTAAGCAAGCGCATTACAACCGGAAGCCCTGAGCAAAAAATGAAATCGGTGCAGGACCAGTTGAGCTAGCTGGCTGGCGCTGACGCGATAGGCGGAGGTGATGATGGCTCCTCGCATCGAAGCTCCTCACTTCGTATTAGATTTGTCGCTTGAAGCGCAATGAGAATCGTGCTGTTCGTCCATTTGGATGGTAGATGACGAATACTTGATTGCTTTCAGAAACCGTGTCTTCTTTTGGTCGATAACAACAGCTGAAAAATGGATGTTACTGAAATAGAATAAAGAATGAAGAATAGTTATATGAAGACCCAGATCAGCGGGAAGTTCAAGGTCCGCTTTATTTTCTGAAATGTAGCGGTTATCACTTTCTATACAACATAAATTCAAGAAACTGAAGTATTAGATTATGTACCAAATGACATAACTACCATTCTTGTAAAGATCAAAACCAGCATTGGCTTCCAGGCCAGCCGGGCTCCTTGTCCCTTTGTAGGTCAATTACTATTCGAACTCCCTAAGAGTTTAAACGAAGGATTATGATTTTGTTTGGTCATAAACATCGCTCCCTTCGGTGGCGCTCATCAACGGAAGAGACCGTGGCAAGCTCCTAGCGTTCTGACATCGCTTTAGTTTGCCGGTATCTTTTTCTCACATTTCCGAGGTTCCTTGTCAGGCCGTCTCATTCTTGATTACTTGTTTATATTATTGCTTCGGTATCTCTTTTTCCGACTTCCCTTTATTTGGAACTCTGCGCTACGTTTACAGTTTATTTCCGGTGTATGATATTCGCATGTTTACGAGTATTTAATTGTTTAATTACTGCTAATTCCTCTTCTACGGTTCCAGACTTTCATTCTTTTTCTCTGAAATTCTGAAATTCTCATCCTCTGAAATCTGACTGTTTTTTGGTCTCGTTTATGAAGTATTCATTTTATCAGGTAGTTTACGAGTGCAGTGCTGGAACAATTAATGGCTGACTTCACCACCTGATTGATAACGGAATCTTATCAATGGCAACTAACCAATAAGGGTAAGCACTTGACTATGCGCTGGGTAAGCACTTGACTATGCGCTTTCTTTTACAAGAACTTCTGAAGGGCGTGGAATAAACGACAAAAAATTACAACCTTGTTAAGGAAAATTTTTGGAGTAAGCTTCAAGGTTTTTTTGAAGTTGCTATGATTATATGATTCTTAAAAAGTTGTGGTCAGAATGATTGTCCTTGCTTTGATCACATAGGAATAACATGCATATGGGTGATTCATCGTGGTGTTGATAGTTAACAGAGTACTTCAGTCCACATTAGAATCTGTGCTTTTCTTTTTCACACCAAACTCGTAGTAACTCACGATTTCAATGGGAAGGAAGACTTGACATGGACCACCGATCTGTTGGAGTTTCCGAACAAAAAACGCATCTTTACGTCAATCAATAACGTTCACATTTCTCTAGTATTATGTAATTCAAAAAGCATCTGAAGCTTCAACATTTCTGCATTTGAAGCTGGTTGCTGCAGATACTTAACAGCCCATGTTGCGGCGGTCGGTGTTAAGGTTATGCAAGGACCCCGGCGTGCCTTGTTTCCTGTTCAAACTTTTACTTTCATGGGTAATGTATGCTTAAGGAGGTGGAACTGAGCTTATGGATGAAAGCCAAGTTGTCTTTTCACTCTAAACGCCGTTTACATTTAAGAATATAATAACTCGCATTTTTACATTCAAAGAAAAACACGCCTAAAGGGACAGATAGCTAGGGCTTCCTCTGGTGTGTTGCAGTAGGAACAAAATTGTCGCGTCGCCTCGAGAGAGACGCCGCGCGCGAAGGAATGTAGTGGAATGCAGCTGCGAGTAAAAAATTCAGGAAAGAACTTATAGTAGAAACATGCTATAGGTAATAATTGCATAGTGATTGAATTGTATGAAGAACGCTTGAACTGTTATAACGAGGCAAATTGTCCGCGACAGCCGTGTGCGGCGGATCGATTACACAAAACCGTTCTTACTGCCCGTCTCCCTCTTTTATAGCATATATCAAATATAATTTTTGTATAAATTTCCCATGGTTTGTAATAAAACTGCGCGTATGACTCACCGTAGACGAGTATAATCAGAAATGTGGCATATTGTTAGATCTTCGAAATATTCTATTCTCCAAAAGTTGTCTCGAATAGGGGTGTTCATCAGTTATGGAAGTTAATGTCTTTAATTACTTTGCATATGATATACATCCCATGACCTTAAACATTTTTTTGTTTCGCGCTTTCCCAATAGAGTTGTCTGCTGTCTGATGTGCTGCTGTGTTTCTTCAGGTGAAGTTCGATAATATCCGTTTATCTGGATCACGTGGCTGTTGAGCTGATTAATTTCAATCAACGATCGGAAAAGAAAACTGCGGCTGGTAACCCACAAGCGGGTAAACGAGAGGAGGTGTAGACTTGATTGTATCGCCATCGAAACATGGAGGTTAGGCATTATCCGTTTAAACAGCATTACATATTCTTTCTAAGCATATATTGAAACATTTCTAAAGAAGCCAGTTTTGAAGCATGTGAATGCGTTGATCGAGAGCGTTTTGTCAAGGCGTTTCTTTATTGAGGGAGTCTGAAGTTTTTAGATTCGTTGGTATGAAGAAAGAGTCGATTGTATGATTGCTGCTAAGCTCCCAAGACAAAAAAATTTCAAGGAGATTGATTCTGTATGAATTAGATTTGTGAACAAGAACAAGCTATTTAAGGATTATTTTCGATTCCTTGGGGGTTGAGTAGCGAACGCAAGTATTAAATTTACTTCACTCCCTATTTTGAAGTCCTAATCCGAACATTTTGAACAGCGCATGGAACCTTAGCACTCTGGATTTACTTAGCTTCGAAAGTAATTGGATTTTTTACTTCATTAGGAGAGAACTTATGCTTACTTTTCTATTTTCCTTAGTAAAATTTTTTGCGAATGCATGTGGTCATCTTGAACTTTTGCTCCTGGAAACTATAAATTACCTCCGGAATCCGGTCAATCGAATGTCCAACTTGTGCTTGATTTCCACATATGATTGACAGCCGTATGAGCACGGAAACTCTCCATCAGAGAGTCGGAAACGTATATGACCCCCATCCGGTACCTATTAGCACCATCAATTAGCGGTCACAAGTAAATTGAGGGTAGAGAGTTGAGAACTCACAGATATCCTCCAGTAACATTTGATGTCTTTTCCTGGTGGACTGGAAAGCGTTTGCCAAGTGTCGGTCGCGACTAGTTCGCCGCCACAAGCTGAAAAGGAGGTTAATGTCAATATGAAACAAGAAATCGAATTGAAGTTAATTTCTTCCATTTCTTAGGAAAAGACGCACGAAGTGGCATCAGATTTCTCGATCATTAGTATAAGATTCTTCGATGTTTGTTACTGAGCTCATACTCTTTACACATATTCTGCTAATAAATAAGGTAGTTGAGGAGACTGCGCTTCTTGCTCCATATACAGCATTTTATGTATCACTTGAAAATTTCTCAAAATTCCCTTGATTTTCTTTCAGTGAGCTAACAAGGGCAAGATCCCAAGTCGAAGTGGCCATTTGAAATGGGACCTACACTGGCGCACGTGTTTTTGGATGCTGAGTTTATATCTGCTTTCCAAATTTGCTAAGAAAATCGAAAACATTAAAAAATGAAAATAAATTTGGTGTAGTGGTAAGGGTGACGCGGGAGGCTAGGGTTCGGGTTTTGTGGGGGACGACACTTTTGCATTATATGGAATTTTTCCCTTAAGGACTAAAATATACTCTCATGATGATTTTATCACGCTTTATGACCTTTTGATGCTTTTGTTGATATTTATCCACATAAAGCAATACTTCAGTTTCACTCAAATGCCCATGCACCCTATATTCACAGTAGGATAATTTTTGACACTTCATGAACAAATGTGATACTCTAGCGCGAAATGCTCGAAAAAAAGGAACTTCTCACAATGGGAGCAACAGATGAAAAAGAGCTCGTTACAGTTCATTGCTTTACACTTACTAACCAAATTAGATGGAAAACAGAGTTGTGTAGGCGTCCCAAAATCACCCGGGTGAGTGTTTAAGTAGCCGGCGGCATTCCGTGAATACAAGTGGAATTTCCTTAATCTAGCCGCACAGTACTGAAAGAGGAAAAGCGATAGTAAGCGAAGAATGGGGTCTCGTGTGTACACGCAAAGGTTGAGAGCAGGAGCTATTTCATATGAGATGGTGCGTTTAACCATATTTTCAAAAGAAAATAAAAAAAGAGCTTCTATCCGCTGTATTAGCCTAGTGGTAACCTCGAGCAGGGTGTCATTCCCTTCACCTGCTTTCGTGGAGGTAAGGTGCACTGAATAGCTTTCTGGTCTTTGAATGATGTCCACGAGTCCATTATCAACAGTGCCGGTCTTGGTGAGTACGGAGCTGCTACGCACCATCGCACCCAATATAGCATCATCACCGACCCTAGCATCATTACTGCTCATCGTGTGCATTTTACTCTCCCGGACCTCCAAATTTTACGCACGGAGGAATCTCCCACTCGGTAACAGGTGGGTAGGTAGGAGTAGGTATCAGCAAAGCTGCAAAAAGTCATAAAACGTGAGATATCGTGAGAGTATTTTCCAGTCCTTAAGGGAAAACTTTTATACAATGCAAAAATTTCGTCCCCCACAAAATCCGAAACCCAGCTTCTAGCACATGAGACGTCACGCCTACCACTACACCAAGCCACTGTTGGGAAATGAGGCACATCCATGTAATTTAAGTTTTCTAATGTTAAGCTTCCTGAAAACCACCATCGTAACTCCGTTCAGAGAAACGCTTGGCAAATTTGGAAAGCAGATTTGAACTCAGCATCCAAAAGCTTGTCTAGCAGTGTAGGTCTCATTTTAAATGGCCACTTCGAATTGGGATCCTTCCCGGTAAGCGAATGATTCGGCATGCGATATTTCTGGTACGCGCCCATCATTTTGCCGTACTCGATCTTGAAACAATGATTTGCATAGGCTCTGCTTCGTTGTCTTTATTTATATGCGTCATATCCGATTTTTAATGATTGTATAGTAATAGAATTACTATTGGTATCCCTGTTCCACTGTTATTCGCTTGGAGTAATTCACAAAATTATGGGAGAGCGTTATGAATTATTGAAGAACTTCTGCCCTTGTAGCCAAGCGTGGATACTGTAGCTAGTGGCATGCCAGCAGTGCATCTACAACAACGTGGTCGATAGACCCCTATGTGGTAGCATGTGCAGATTATTACAAGACCTGTTTATCTGCTCTACTGATCCGAACAAAAACTAACTAGATCTATAGAGTTTCACGAATACGTACACAGCCATATACAATTCAATGCATATGTAGATCCTGTTCAACAGCAGCAGGCGTCTCAAAATCCGATTTAATTTAGCAGCTTTTCTAGATTTGGTGATTTGAGTAAAAAATAGCTGGATGAATGTCAACAAGAGGAATTTGAGACAATTTGAGCGTTGAAATATGATTTATTTGGTAGTAAATCTGGATGTGAGCCCACATTTACTATGTACTTATAGCTTGAAGTACGAGTGCTCATTCATCCCCCTCATCATGCGAATCCCTCTCAACCGCCTGGTTTCGCCCTATTTTTGCGGCGAATTCCAACATCGATGACTCCCTCGCACGCGTCACTTTGTGAAGATGAAGATGTGACCGGGAAGAAATGATGGTCGTCCTGATGAATAATTCAAGAAAAAAAGAGGAAAGTTCATGTACTTTACTTTATATCAAAGAATTTTGATTCATTCGAGCTGGAACGACGCGTGGCTTCAATTAGTCGAGGGTCATGGCGCTTAAAAGCATAAGTTGATTGCTCATTCACCACGGGTGGTTCATTACTTGCAGATTTTCCCACGTTCTGATTTAAGGGACTTTAAACCACGCCCACATGTTCTCAACTTGGCCGAGCAGCACATGAGAGGGTCTGCCAATTTGAGAACTACTATCGGCCGTACTTTTAACAAAGCTGGTAGAAATCCTCGATACAAAATTACTTAAGTAAATATGTAATAATGAATAATGATAAGTAATAATGTTATATAACGTATCAATACTTAAGAAATATTAGAAAATTTAAAAACCTAATCTACTGAAGTTTTGCAGCACTTGCGCTAAGCAGTACGGGTATGCATGGGAGGCATTAGGTTTCCATTCATACTATGTTAATTTTATCCTATTTTACATTTTTTTGACACTTCATATCACATTTTTTTTGCCCAAAGGATCGATATATAGCAGTATATTATAGCTGCACATAGACAAATTCATTTCGATCTGTCACGTAAGATATACGCCGATGGCTCTGGCACGTTTTGCTGCTTCCGAAGGCTTTGATTAGTAGTTACTTCCATGATCTATCATTTTCTATTTTATATTGTGGCTTACATATCTAGTTTGACTGAAATTATGACTGGCATCGTCAAGGATGAGCATTCCATGATTGCTGGTACCCAAGTATTGATGTCATTGACTACTGATTGTGGCTGTCTTTTCAGGAATACCACGAAAATAATGGAAATATTAGTAATGAAAGAAAAATAAACGGGCAGTAATTCTAAATTTTGTACCATAGAAGCCCACATCTATTTTTTCAACTGTTCCTGTTCATATTCTCGATTTTACTGGATGAAATCGCCCCGGAAGTTTCCCTCAGTAGAATGCCTTCTTTTTCTCGGTTTTTACCAGATAAAATCGCTCACAAAAGTTTCTCGATTTTCTTCCAAGGCAGGATTAATTACTATTGCGAATTCGATCGCGAATATTGGCCTGTAATCTGTTGACAGGAACCACAAAAGGTTTTTACCCGCTGTGAAGCCTGCACTCGGGAAACCCTGATGGTAATTATCGAAGCCCTAATTCTCAACGTGGAAGCCTCACGAAAGCTATTTCAATGATACTTTTTTCTCTCATTATTTGTGTAAAGAAGTACGGTAGTGTTGGATGGTATAGCCCGTCGACCTATAAGTAGGACAAGGCCTTCCGGTAAAAAAAAACACTCCAAGGCGAACTATGAGAAATTATTCGGATTCTATCCCTGTTCACGTAGACAGGAATGAAGCATCCCTGATAATATGTACAGAAAAGTCGGTTTACTGGTTGGACGGTTTACAGATGAACTTACAACTAGGTTGTAATCGACTGCAGTCAGGCCCGCCTAGTCCTTCTGGGCAACGACAGACGGCGCAGTTGTTTGGATCTGGATAACCGCCAGCCAGACAATGCAGATTTGATCGTCCAGCACAGGCATCTAAAAGAAATTGTGAGAAAGGAAGGTGTTCTTTGATATGCCGCTCGATTCCCACGGCAAACCTTATCGAGCAGAATTCATTAATCGGTTGCATGGATCTGGGAGGCTACCGCCTTTGCCCTTGGTCTAAATATTTCGGGAGCTTTTCGTAAATCTTGGGAGCTTTTATAAAACTCGTTGAATGGGCGGAAGCTAAACTTTGGCCATCAAACGTAGTTAAGAACTCTAAAAAATGGAGGAGACGGAGAAGAATGAGGGAGAGCGGAAGAGGGGGGGGGGGCAGCTGGAACTTGCAATCTGTTTTGCTCTGTAGTTAATGCTTGGTTGAACAAATCGGATGCAAACTTCAAATGTGCCCACACTCGTAGCCATTAAAATAGATTGGGCGCCTTTGACCACTAATCAGGAAGACATTGATTTCGGAAGGTGCATTTGAAATGATATATAAGTGAAATCTATTTTATAGCACAAACTCGGGCAATAGATGTCGTTGATCACTTTGGCATCTAAGAAGGCCATCTTCTCGGTGCCCATTGTGGTCACGTATTTCAACTCTTTTGGCACAATCGTGAAATCGGAAACCTATAAAAAGATCAATTCTCGGGTTATTCTATATAAACATCGTTCTCAATAAATAGTTATAACCAGAGTTATTAAGTATCAGTACCAGTAGTACCGGTTTGTAAGTAGTACTACTATATTTGCTCGATATAATAAGTTTATACGTTCGAAAGACGACTGTAAAAATTGAATTTTCTAAGTTTAGATTTATTCAATCGCTACTTTATTTTACTGTACTTTGAATCTTAGTGGTGTAAAAATTGTCAGAACAAGAAGTTTAATTGAAGAAGATAATTTCTTGGCGTCCATGAAACGTTGCGGCCCTTACTCAACTTGCTTTGACTGTTGTTTTAATCTTTGAATACCTTATTGGAGTTTTCATTAGGGTGCTTGGACCATTATGTATATAGGCTAGTGTTTTCGAACCTTTCATACGTCTTTGGTACCTATTAATTGGCTTGGTTAGCCTGAATTGAATCCCGGATCAAGAAAGTGATAGTTCTCCACTTGGTACTACACCTCTTTAACTCATTGAGCCATAACCGAAGCGCAGAGTTAGGCCTTCTGAATGAAACGTTCCCTTTTTCAAGGCACGCCGAGCACTCGTCTATTTCGTAGAGTAGCCGACCTTTTGAGTGCCAATCTGGCCAATTTCTACGTAAGAGGAGGGGCCAGTCGATGTGCCGGTGAATGTCAAAAGTCTTCTACCCAAAGAGTTGGTACTGATGGGTTCAGATTTTAACCCCATTCTCAGAACCATAGTGGCTGAGTAGCGGCGCCATTTGAATTGTTCTCCGTCTACTCCACACAGTCTTTACAAAAAAGATCCATTGGCTGACTTCGTTGATTCAAAGGATTCGCACATGTGCGGAAATGCTCGACTGAAGGAATTGAACAGCATTTAGGTTACACCAAGAGAGGAAAAAAACTCTTCTACAAAAGGTTGTGGTTAAGTGGTCGTTTTCGTGACGAGTGACAAAGGGGTTTTCCCAAGTTCCTCGTAATTCTCCCTGCGTAACCAGACGAGTACGAAAAAGCATTGACATGCCTACATAAGACGTTTCTCAGTTACGCCGCCGAATGTTCATTGGATTAGAAGGTCGACAAGGCCGTTAGACGAAAACTGCAATGCAGTAATACCATTGCCATAAATCATTTTTCAATTACCATTACTTCTCGGGTAAATTTTCATTTTCCCAGAACATTTCATCACTGGGGGATACGATATTAGTTTCAGGAATTGTAAAGCCGAATGTCATCGTTCAGCTTTCCTTTTTTCCTTTCTTTATGAATACTAATTGTTTTGTCAGGGTAAAGTTGGATTGCTGGTAAGAGGTGCTATCTTATTCAAGCAAAGTCATAGGATCGATTCCCACTCGGACTAGCCGAGCAGCTTAATAAGGACGGAACGGACTCGATCACAGAATAAGAACAATTGGGACCCCTAAATGACAAACCGAGTCACATCAAATGTGCATTATTGTGTCTTACAAATATGATTTCTTTACTATATGTTATTTATATAATATAAAATATAAAGTTATATACTCCATCTTTAGTGTTTTTTAGGGAAAAATGGGAAATTACTTAGGTAATTGACATTCAAACCTCAGAGACGTACCTTAATTGCATGAGCAACAGCATGGTAATGCATCAGAGATCCGTAGTCGTACGGTACACGACGTGGAGAGACCTTGAAAAAAGCATATGTCCATGCGAATTCTGACGTGGAATATAGCTTTGATAGTTTTGAGAACAATAACTATCCAGAATTGAACCGCATTATTCTCAATCAGTTGACGCATAACCAAAAAGGTTGTTTTGTAATCACTGTAAAAGGCCCGTTCATTTGATAAAACGATTTGCCCTGCTCAAAACTACTGGTTGAGCCCAGATCTGGGGTGCTTGGCACCGGATCTACTCATAGTACTGACGAAAGGTACGGGAAGGCTCACTCAAGAAGCCTCACAGAGATAATGAGTAGAGTGATTTTTTTCTCCCCGTTAGATGACCCATTCTCATTTTGCGACCTTGACGGGTTCTCCTGGCCCACAGCCAGACTGCTCTATACCAAGGTCAATCATTGTTCGGAAACCATATTTACGCTATTCTGTATTTGCTAGTGTAGTATGCAATGGCGAGAGTACAGTTTTGACAAAACAACCGGTCACCCTTTTCTTGTTTTGTGGGCAGGGGGGTGGGGGGGGGGGGGGGGGGNGGGGGGAGAAAGGGGGAGGGGTTATACAGAATGGGATGGCTTAGAGCTGAAAAATTGAGCTTCAAAAACAGGGAGCTACGCGAGCGTGCCATCATAAGAGGTCCCAGGGAAAGTTTAGAGAATAACAGGAGGGAGACAGGCTTCAAGCGCAAGTCTTCTTTTTTATAACATTTGAAGGCTTACTTGGCGGATTCCAAACGCTTGAAGCATACTCCGGAATGGCATAAATGACGCAGTCGCTTCTTCCATCACATTCTTCCAGTTAATGGAAATATGGCGATCTCTGAAGAGAGCGATGAGCAGCTCTAGCATCTAAGATAGATTCCATAGTAAGAATGGAGTCAAACCTGTCGGGTCGTTGGTGAGTATGCCAGAAACCGAGGGCATGTCCTGTTTCGTGCGCCACCACATACTCCTGAAATCACATAGGAGTCAATCTGATCAACATTCTATGGCTGCATTCGTGAAAAAGCTGAAATGACACACGGGCCGGAGCTCCCTTTGTCATTTTTGGTTTCCCAAGAATGCGCTAAACTTTCGGGAAATCGAATTTGAGGGTGCATCGGGGAACCAGGTTGGATTCAGTACCAGTATGCTGGCTACATTCATGGTGAAAAGGGTAAAGGTAAATATGAGAAAATTTAGTTCCAGTGAGTGTAATGGCATGGTAAGTTTTCAGGGCATCATAACAAAAACGTTAGCTTTATATGCTTCATCATAGCTTGATAAGGCACAAATTAGACTCGAAACATAACTGTAATAATAGTAATTGTTATAGGAGGCCAGAGAGGGGTTCTCTTAATTTCTATTGAGAATAGGTCTTCGAAGTGAAATTGATGTTGATTTGTTCCCAGCCATTCTTGAGAAGGTAAAATTTTGCTTTGAGCATCTGAGCCGTACGCAAACTCTTTGAGGTGTCTTATAGTTTGTAATTAAATAATAATAATAGTAATAATAATAAAAATAACAGTAAAATTTGAATTGCATGATGAAAGGGCCTCCGAGAGGAGCAAAAAGAGAGGAACGATAGAAAAGAGATGATTAATGAAGAAAAACAAAAACTGGGTTTGAATTGAAGCATTTTGCAAGAAAGAAAAGGGTTGTTTAGTATTGCTTGAGTTTACTTCTAATGGAATATGTTTTGAGGAATTTTTATTAAATCAAAAAAATTTCATTTTGATAAAGGGATGAGAGATAAATTCGAGAGCATAATAGGAGAGCGGTTTCCGTCTCAAATACGCAGTCAAACAGGCACGTAAGTAGTGGCACCGGAGAAAATCTCTAAACGGAGGAGGAATGAGGCTTTCGAAAATGTAAATGAGAGATAAAAAGTAAAAAGAAAAGCTTCGTTGCAATGAAACGCTACAATCAGGCGCGGATGGACGAACTCAACTGCTGATGCATCTAACTGGAGTTTAAGCTTTCGAGTGTTGATCAATCCCTTTTTCAGTAATCTTCCAACTTCGGAGAGGTTCACGTTTACAGTCTGAGTAAGGAATCGCAGTGGCACTTGGATAGATATTCTTCTCGAACAACCGATTGGATTTGGTCTGTTACAGCCGGACGGATCACTTCTGTTCTCTCGGAGTTGGGAATCTTCACTCGTACCATGATGTAGCATAGCTCTTTCTGGCTATTCCCCAATTCCGCATAGCGCTCACTATGTTCTTGATCTTCCTATTTCATTTCTTCAATCGGGATCCTTCGTTGTTGCCAATATCGAAAGAAGTTTACTTGTCTTCTATGGTAATAGAGCGCTGTGCTGTAATTCTATCCTAGATTCACATCGTCGAAGTATTCAAGGTATAGGCGTCAAGAGATCTCTTGAGCTGGGAAACGTTTGTGATGGGCAGGAGTTACAGGGGATTCCTGCTACTTCTTTGATTACCTTGAAGTCTGCTTTTCAATGGTTGCGCCATCCCAACAGGACACACCTATGCCGAACACGACGTTTCTTTGTGGGTTGCCGCCTCTCTGTCCGAAAAACTTCTTCAGGGATTGCTCCAACTAGTCGAGAAAATGCTTTGCAGTCGTTCGATTGTTCCTGTAACCGTGACAGTATCAAAAAACCAAACTAAATGGCGTTCCTGCCGCATCCCCTTCGTCAGATACTTCGAAGTCGAGGGTAATGGTCTGGGAATCTTGGTCGCGGCTCCAGAATACCTGGATAGGTTAAAAGTCGAACATTAATTCTTCGTAATCGATTATGTGCTTTGGAATTTACCTTGGTCAGTGTGCAAAGTACCAAGAATTCTTGACACTGTCAGAATTGTTCTGAGGTGAAGACAAAATGTCAATTTCCTCTCGATAATTCTAGAAGACGAATGAGCAGTGAAAGCAGCAACGTTTGGTTTTGCCGCTCCGTTCCCAAATTGCCGAAATGTTCCTTCTCTTCCTTTAAAAGGGATTGCATTTATTATCCCATTGTAAGGGCATTTTGATTTTCAGCGATAGAAGGAATATAGATGTAGTAGTCAGATAGTCTTTTTTCAAGAGGCTCAAAAAATATCGAGCTTTTAGAATAAACAGGATCTTGCGTAATGATTTCAGCGTGGCTTCAGAAAGAGGGAATTCCCATCGGATTTGGAAACAGAGGAAAACAATCGGATTAGCTGCAAAAGGCAAGAGGGGGTTAGTGAGAATTTGGATGAGGGAGCTGTCATTCAAAGTAGTCCCTTGACGAGGAATACCTTGATGAAATCTCTCCTCATCTTAATCCTAAGGTTTCTCCGTAGGTTAACGAGCCACGTGCTGTTGAAGCTGCCATCTAGCTGCAATAAGTCGCGTTCGAAGAGAAGATGAAGTACGGTGTAATAAGAGGGCATTATCGCCTACTGAAAGATTTGGGTGAGCTTCTCAGATCTACACGGTGGGTGGACTTGTGGGAGCGCAAACTGTGGAATCGCATCTTCAAAGTTTCGGTTCATAGTAGTGAAAGGACAAACTTCCAACTGTATCAAGATCATCAGCTTGGCACGGGAACCGACTCACGAATTAGAAACCGCCCAAGCCAATCAGTCCATCTATTTCCCAGACACTTAGTTCATCTTAAACTAGACTGAAGAATATAAGATTGATTCGTATTTATTATCTAGCCTCAATTACTGAATTTGTAGGCCAATTGTGGTAGAAAAGCTCGGAGAAAATCACCATAACTGCTTAGAGGTTGTGAAAGGATCGGTGACGTATTTTCACGTCAAAAGAAATGGAAGAATCCAGCAGAATGAATAACATGGGAAACCCCGTGAAGGATTAATTGGCCTAATTGATTATCAATGCAGGCGATCCTCTTAGTGATAGCGAACAAATACATAGATCAATAGCGATCAGATCGAATAAATGGCATCAAGTGAGATTGGGAACGATAAGATATCGATTTGTCTATCTCTGAATTTTGAAAGTATTTCTCTCTTTTAACAGAATAATTATGAGTCTGAAGGCTGATGAACATTTCGACTAAAGCATATTCATTCAAAAGATTGACAGCGATGATCGACAGCTTTTTGACCGGTTTTCACCGATTCTTGACTCCCAATTCGACCAGGCTCATGGCCCATCCAGTGAGCACTCGTTGATGAAATTATAGTCCTAATGGTTTCAAATTTGGAAGGGTCAACTTGGATATGAGTATCTGCTGACAAAGACTCTAGTTCCTCGAATAAGGCTACTGAATTAATGTTCCCGAAAAAAAAGTAATCAAGGATCTTGAAGCCTCTGAAGGTTCTGCACTTTACCAATTGAATTTCTAGATTTTCCTAATCTCATTCGAGTCCTCTCATCCTTTTCTCAGATTCACTGTTAATCGTAGAATACATTGAAATTTATTTCTGATAGCGATAGTCCTCGCTTACCTCATTGAATCTTTGAGGAAAATCACAGATTTAGTTGAATTCATTTATTTATGTTTGAATCTTTTTAAATCATCCATTAACTTTATCCGAAATGTGCTTACAAGAATCTATTTATCAAAATTTGCAAAATAGAAAGTAGTGCAAAGTCAGCCAAATAGGTGCATTGAAAAACAAGAGGTTATTTCCCAGACCTTGGTAATATGACCTTGAAATTCACCCATTTTACAGCCAGATTAGCGTGAGTTCCCTATACTGATCATAGAAGTTTGAAGATTAAACATTTTTCTTGAAATTTTGAAGTTTTTTGAAATGAATATGACAAAAAAAAAGCTGAAAATTGCCAAATTCTTCATAATTCTAACGAACCAGTGTTAAGACTGTAGGCAGGAATTTTGAGGTTTCATATATTTTTTCTCTCCTTTATGGATATTTTGCGATATTATGTTGGCAAGTTTCATTAGTCGGCAGCGTATCATCCTGACTGACGGGCAATTGTCTAGACATTTATCAACTATCCATAGCTATCGCTGTCGATGGCGATCCACGGCTTATAAAATTTTCGTCGATATATTTGGCTTTCATTGCTATGCAGCGATGACCGTTGATTTTGTGGGTTATGTTTTTTTTTCGTTAAGGAAAATGATGGTTCGAAAAGATTTTTCGCGTCTATCCTATCAAACCTTGATTTTGATTTTGGCAGTCGGATCCATGGCGCATCTTAAGGGATATCATGAAGCACGGCGTGATCTCTGTAATTACTTCCTGATAGCCTTTGCAAGGCTCAGAAATCTCTTCGTTACAAATAAAACATAGCTGATTACTTTTTTCTATAAAAAAAAACCTGGATGATTCCCAGAAGTTTACACGGGAATTTATTTTGACTAATGAGCTGAATCAATTTTTTTCTGTTTTTTAATTTGGAAATTGGTAAGGGACGTGCCAATTGCTGAAACTCCTGTATTGGCAGGAGTAACAATTACAAAACATAAGAAATCCTTACGCATTTCCCCATTGCCCCAGATACCGTTCATATTGGTGAACTCATAAAACCTCGCTGATTGAACAGCTCAAGTGGGAGCTGAAGTAATGTGTCACTCGAACTGGTCTGGTATCGTCCAGAACTGAGAATATGACAGGAGCGAGTTGATGAAGTTCTTAATAAGCTTGATACGTTCCACTGGCCAACAAAGATCAAAGGCAGTTAGATGAAGACAAGGCGTCATAGTGGCATAATCGAATAAAGCGAAAATTGTATTAATTGGAGGCATTGTAAAGGCTAAAACAGTTGAATGGAAGTGTCGTAAAACGAAATAGAAGCAGCGACTCTCTAAGACACACTATGGAAATTGGAACTCGTTTGTTAGAGTGTGAAAGCAATAAAGTTTGAACAATGAGTGAAAACTTGGTCGTTTATGGGGTCCTTGTTTTTGCTAATCGCTAAAGGAGCATACAGTTGGGAAGCGCTCTTTTCGTTGACTTTAGTTTTTTTCAATGACCGACGAGTGGTGCGCTTTAAGCTCGCAGTTTAGATGGCTAAATTACAGCTCAAATATTTAATTCATTCACTTTAAGTGAAAAGATTGTGAAATACATATAGTGCCCAAGTCAAGGCAACCAAATAACTGTAAGAAAATTGAAATTAAGATTTTCGATTCTAAGTGACAACTGTTTATAAATGCATCCCATAATTTTATGATCTCAATAAACCACAATGCTTCAAAGGTAGTTCGAGGAATGTTTTGCTCGACTTTATCAAAAAAAAAATTTTTTTGGGGTACTGTAGAAGTTTAGTTTCAAAGGCTGAGATCACGTTGTGGTTGAATGAGGTTTCAGCGCACGTTTCTTTTAGCTCGTAGTTGTAATTACAATTTTCAGAAGTTGGTTTTTTTTTCAATCTTTCCGGAAGTAAGACATCCATTTTCTAGAAGATAAATGCCTGAAGTCCATTTATTAATTTTTGTGTAAGAGGCAGTGTGTCAGAGGAATCTTTCGGTCATTAACAGGCCCAGATGATCTTTCGGTGTAAAGACGTGCTAATGAGTACTGTTAGCCCTTTCTACAAAGTCCTGTTATCATTATCCAAGCTTCGGGGGAACGGAATCAAATGGAATTTGCCAATGAAATTGATTTACTGTAAAAAATAGGGCGAATTTTGCATAAATATTTAGGGTTAACAATAATAGAAGTGATTCTGGTATTACCTCTTGGCACCTCCTCCTTCTCTACCTCCAAAACAAATCCAGCATGCGAAAACAGAAATAATTACCCATATCCCATTAGTACTTGTAAAAGAAAGCCCTATCAGAAGGGAAGCGCAGTTATCCCTCCCCAGCATATCCAATCTCCTAAAATCAATCAAGCGACTTTAGCGAAGTGACTGCTGAGGATGGGTAAGCGACTGTCAAAAGGCTTGGATTGAACTTTGTAAAGAACCCTTCTCACAATTATTAGTATTATCTCCCTCCCATTAGATACGGTCAGGTACCCTTCACTTGTCGGAAGCTCTTCATGTTGAGTAGAATTGGGACAGAACTAGTTGCAACCGGATGTCATTAGGTAAATTGAAGGGAACACTATAAACCTGATTCCCCACTATTACCTTCATAACCTACTATTCTGCTACATATGAAGTTCTTCCTGTAGTATGTAAAAAGAGGCGTTGCTTCCAATTTGTAAGCAAAATTGCTCAGCAGTTCGGAGAAGGTAGCTCGATGGTAAGCGACGGATCCTTGGGAGAACCTTATTATCTGGGCTGAATTAACAAGGAATGCGGCGTCTCATCAGCTGTCCACAGTGCACGGCAATTCTTTGCTAGTTGCCTCGCCTGACGCCGTCTCCTTGTTGGTTACATAAAATAGTTGTCAAGTCGGATGTTACGTCTTCAAGGTATGGCACCCGTTACTTGAATTCAGGAGGCCGTTCGTTGCTCAGTGGCAGCTCCATGCTCGGCGTAAATCTGAGGGGTTTTCCACTGGCGACCACTCAATTGTCTAATTCTCCACTCACCCTGGCAAAGCATAATGTTTCCCGGCGTCCATGAAATGTCGTTATCGTTATTGATGACCTCTTTTCCCTTTTCAAACGACAAAACTATTATATTTTGACGATCGTCGTTGTGATTATATAGAGACGAAGGAATTTTGCGATGAGCTCGGGTTATTGAAGGTCGTCGAGATCGTGAGCGTTGAAAACCGGTTCGCCACGAACGTTGTGTTGTTGAGATGAGGATGGCAGAGAAAGAAGGGGGCGAAGAGGAGAAGAAAACATCGAAAGAAGGGAAATACGATGTCCGAGATATGACATTCGGAAGAAATCTCATATAATTGCCTGAGAACATCATATGCAAGAAATATTCGGCGGCAGCGGCGGCAGAACAGGGACGTTCTGCGGGTTCCATCTGAAGGGTGAAAGTACTTGTGAAGATTGAGGGAAAGAAAAAGAAATGGAACAAGACAAATCAAAGTAGAAAAGTAAGGAAAGAGAAGTCAATTTCCTGCTGATTACAGATTTTATAGAATGTCAGCAGATGCGTGCAGCAAAGCCCTGAAGAGGGTTGTTGAGGTATCAAACGAGGAAAGAGCATGGAAGAGTTTGAAAACGCTGTGGAGGTTAAATCACTAATAGTAGTGCTCCATTACAGCTGGAAAGCAAAGCGTAATTGAACAAATCAGTGCAATAGGGAGCGAGATACACAAAATAATTCGAAACAGATCTCTTTGACCTCTAATCCTCTTCAGAGGCAGCTTTGAGCTCCAGTAATGAGGAATTTTTTTTCAATCAACCACCTCTCCTGTAACCTTCTTCTGACTGTGCAAAAAGTGAAGAGAGGGAAGGCATATACAGTGCCTGAATCTTATTCATGAAGTCCGAGCTTCTTGGTCCGACAAGCTCCAGCTGATACCGCCTCCACGCCGATTCCTGGTTTTGCAGTCATCTGAGGAAGGAGCTGAGGCAAAAAGATTTGTTCATGATTTGGATGAACTTGTGAACATAGTAAGCATTCTGACAGTCTGACAGTCATGACAGTTTGACAGTCATTCACGGGTAATAGAAAACATTACGTGCTGATTCAAGAAGGAGCTTGCAGTTGCAAATTATTCACAGTAACCTGTAGAAATTGATTGTAAACCAACAAAGCGACGTTTGTATCTTCCTGCTCCTGAAGTGCTTTTTTATGCTTTGCTTTGCAGCTTTAAGCGTTACTTTGAACATAGGCATACCCTAGGGAACGCTAATTGAAGGAGAGAGATTGCTCAGAGATTATCATTGGTAGCTTTGCGGTTCGCGGATCGCCTTACGACGACGGCTGAAGGGTTTCGTTTTGAAAGCTTTCCCTAGTTTTTCTGTTAATCGCCTCTAGAGATGCTTGCTGAGAAACCGTTTCCTGAGCGGAAAATTGGAAGAGGAAGACGATTTTCAAATGCATTTAGAAGTTTTGACTCAGGTGCCACATTCGGGGTTAAATCTCAAGAGAAAGCTTAGCCGTTCCTGGATGTTCCTGGCGGAATATGCGTTCTGGAAATGACGTCCAATAATTTTTCCCCGGGAAGAGGAGTCGTGAGTTCTATGTGGTTCCACAGTAAGACTGTAGTGGTTACGGTGTCATACACTTATAAACTATAGGTGGCGCTTGGAAATTTCATTTTGGCTTTGTTCAGACAGCAATTTCTATCGAAATTAGAGTCATCATAATCGATAGAGGCCCACTTGCCTAGGTGGTAACGGGGAGACAAAAGTTAGGTGATGATGGGTCGGTAAAGTTTCATGGTTCAGTGTGATCAATCTACAGTTTGTCAGTCGTCAGAGAGAACAATCAATCTTTTTTGGGGACTTACTTCAGCAGCCTAACGAGCGATCATTACAGCTTTCACTCCATTCAATTTTAACTTCAATTATGGCATTGCAGAACTTGATTGTGGTCGAATCGCCAAACAAAACTTCAAGGATTGTCATCATCAACCCTCATTTTATCGCGAACACATTCGACCGAAGAACTGCTTCGCTTTTATTGACGGAAGAAGGGCAACCGACATTCCGAAAGAGCGGCTCGATTGATCCTCAATTACTTCATGCGGCATTGAGTTGTCAACGTTTTTGACTTCCCAGTCAATCGCATGCGGTTGCGTACAGGTTAGACCGACTCGGAAAAAAGGCAGACGTGAATTCGCTTTGATGAATACTCAGTTAACAATGGGCAGCATATGATTGCCGATTACAGCATTCATCATGTTGAGAAGTCTAGTCGGTCACGAAACTTCAGAAATCACCACAACTTGTGATTTTGGCTGATTGCTGATCTTGTGATTTTCTGCTACCATTCCCACCATTACCTTTTGCTTGGATGGCCAATCCGGGTTGAAATTGGAAAATGGTGTGAATTGGTCTTCCAATCCTGTTGAGTGGTCAGGAAAGGTAATTAGTTTCATGAAGAGTTCATCCACGAGTATTTCTTGGTGTCATCCAGTGTTAATGCGGAAACTGTGAGAATACGCCCATTCGGTGTTGCCCTCCTGAAAAGAGGCAAAGAAGAAGGAGAGGGAGGGTGTGGGTACTGAAAACATTTCCGTATTGCATCCGATAATGACCGTGACAGCAAGAGAACTTGCCCGTTAGAAACAAACTTGTGCGATGTGAGATTCGCTCAATGGATCCCACGAGGATTACGCGGAATGATCGAGTTCCATGACTGTAGAGGCGAAACTTGTTGGTGAGACTCAGTCATCTCAGTAAGGGTGAAATGGCAGCAGGTTTGTGACGTCATCGGGTTTTATTATTATTTTTTTTCGGACCATCAAGTATACTGAAGTATGCCATGAGGTGGTCTCACCTAGGAAGGGACTTGACTACTACGTGCAGACAGGTTGTCTCACCATATGTTATATCAACAAGCGAGTTCTTTAAGAAGTTTAGTGGATGATCAACTGGTTCACAGTCTGTTCACTTCTTCTGTGCTTCTTTTCTCGTTGTTGTAATGAACATTCGATGTTGGCGTTTGAATAGAAGATTAGAGAAGTTAATAATAGATTTGCGACAGTCACAATGCCATCATGGTTAAAGCTGGTTTTCATGGACAAAAAGGAATGTACCAGAAGTGGGATTTGCAAGTGAATCAGGAACCAGTCAGTGGCCCTATCTGAATGAAATAATCCCTGCTCAAAGAGTATCAAGCGTGAAAGTTACGATTGGGGCCTTTTTGAACGTGCCTCCACTACCAGTACATTAGTGAACAAGGAAAGTTCTCACTAATGCTGATAGACAGATGCCAAAACTTTGGCCAGACAGTATCCAAAACCTTGGCCCATCCCCTTCAGACAAAGAATCATGGGAACAGAATAAGGTCCTAATCGATTACCCCGGGTTCGAAATCTCAACACTATGCTCCAATCTAGCATCGTAGAAAGAAGTTAGAAGGGTAGAGGCCTCAAATGATTCAATTGGTCTTGAAGTTTCAATGCAAATTCATCCCAGTTCAAATATCAACGCTCGAGCAGTAAAACCTCGTTAGCATTTAGACGCGAACTGGTCTAAAGTGTAACAAGTTGGCCTAGTATTAAAATCATTCAGAGCTAATATTCAATGAAACCACAGCCAGGTAGCCAACCCAAGCTTGACGGAAAGGCTAAAAGATTGATCTAACCTGAATTGAAGTTGCTAGGATTGAGTCAAGAGGAATTTTAAAAGAAGAGGAGTTTTTAGTCTGAAGGTACCTAAGCATTGGTAACCTTAACCTCGTCTTTGAACCGTCTCCTTGCAAACCCTCTCCTTATACCAGAATTTCTAATGGATGTTCTAGTTAATCTAACTTCGATGCTAGTTGATAGCATTATAGCAAAAGATAGTCGGAACGCCATCGAAGTCATTTTATGCGCTTCAGAAATGGAGAAATTTCACTGAAGAAAGCACAATGATGAAAGTATTTCTGATCATAGGCATAAAAGAACGACCGAAACAAATTATCGTCGGAATTTCGTTTCCGAGCTAATCGCTTTTCCCCCAATTTCACCTTTCCCTATTTTATTTCTCTTGATTCTGAAAACTGCTCTCTGAAGAGCAGAAAGAAAGGTATGCAGGGAGCTTTTTATTTATTTCTGACTCATGCCAACGACTACAGTTTTACGGCCAAACCTTCAAAGTAATGGAAAATAAGTGGGACGTTTGGGTTGTTTTTTCTCCAGAATAGTATGAAAGATCATGCTCAAGGAAGGGGCCAAGCTTTCTGCTACTTTTTGTTCTCAAAAAACCTGCGATCGAGAAATGTTTTCCCAAATTTGGCCTAATCCGTGGTAATGCAGAAACGCAGGTTCTCCAAGAAACTCGGCGAATTAGTTTCTCGAAGTGGGTGAAACAGCAAAGAAAACGACAAAGAATTTCACTTCAAAGTAGAAAATGCTGCCAGCATAGAGACATTCAGATGCCTAGGCTGCCTCACATCCTGATGGTGTTAGGAGCTCGAGTAGATTCACATAGGTAACCCATAATATTATCAGCAATTAAATTTAACTCAAAAAACATGATTAGTCACAATATGTCTATGTAATGTTGTCAATCAATAAGGGCCACTTTGTAGTTTCTATGGCGCGTGGGAAAGCAGATGAAGAGATTTTTTTAAAGAATAAGTCTGTTATTGAGTAGATTAGATGCTTCTCATTGGAAAGCAGTTATTCCGAGAATAGCAGATCAAGTGACCAGAATATTTCATGAACAGAATATTTCAAACGAAGAAAGCTGTTAGGCCGACTCTCCCTCAGCCAGAGGTGTTAAATATAAAAATACATGGGCGAGGAAATCGAAGTAAGATACTTACCTCTGCGCACTCGCTCCCGATAATGATATCCTGATGGCCACCGTTTCGACCAATATATTCAGTGAAACAGCTGTCACCTTTCTCCAAGACGTACCGTATAGCATCACGAGACTAGAAATAAAGGAACTTCAGTTATAAAGGATAAAATTTGATGATCGTTTTGTTTTTTTATTCGTTCGTTTTTTACTTATTTATTTACTTATTCTATCAGTTCATCAATTTACTCAAAATGGATGAAAATGAGGTTCTGTTAGAATACAACAAAATGAGAACGGATGTGGTTATAGCTTAGTTTTAAGAGGCTTCTCGGAGCGGTGCTCCATAACCACGATGAGCATTATGGTGCAGTAGTGCGTGCAGTCTTACGGTAATAGTAATTTGGCATAATTCCCTTGTGCATTTTAGTGCTCTACTGCTCAAAAGCGGTGCTGTACTGCATTTTGTGTCCTTTAGGTACTATAAGCTTTTACTGACATTCTCAGTGGGTGGTATTGGTAGCAACTGGCTTAGTAAGTAGAAGAACCAATGAAGAAATAAAGGAATGCAAGTTTCTGAGAAGATCTGAGACCCAGGCAAGGTGTTGATAGAAAAAGTTCTGCAACTCGAAATCCTCAGTTTTCGTTCCACGTAGGGAAATTTCTGCTCGGTCACGGTTTGGGTTCACGGCGGGCTGGATCAATATCTAACTGAAATCGCACTACGATATATACCATGTTTCTGATTTTGAAGTACTCTTTTTTCTGCGGAAAGCACAGACCTTTCATTTTAAAATGATCAAGAGCTCCAACGCTCTTGTTGCCCTCCACACGTCCTTTTCTCCCATATGTCTTTATTCAGCCTTACACAAGGTTTAGTCATATTCTATTTGGCTTTCCGTAAACGTGACCCTCACGGAATCAGCCACTCCTCTCAGAAAAACTTGAACAAACTCGCCCTCGATTTTCGCAAAACATAGACAATTCCCTCTCTTCTAGAAAATATGACCATTCAGAAAGCGAAAAGATCCTGCAGGTCTAAGACTGAAATAAAAAACACGAAGTAGCTGGGAAACGGGCAATTCTCCCGGTGGGTAAGATTGATCTTACGGCGACTGCGTTTTCTCAATAGGAGTTCCCGTAGGAAAAACGAATTTATGAGAGAAAAGTTCGGCTGTGGGATATTAGCTTGGACGAATGGAATACAAAGCAATGATTAGCATTGGTCGATAAAGTTTTTTCTTAAGGCATCAAACTGAGGTTCGAGCGGAATGGCTCAAGTTTAATGGCAGATCAAAATCGAACAAAAAATAGCTCCAACAACTTCAGGCATCACGGCTCTCAAACATATCCTCTTCGGCTAATACCTAACAAGCGGAGAGATGGATTTGAGTGGCAGGATGTTAAGAATGATCCACGCGGTACTTTGGCTAAACTTCATTTAGACGGAGAACTAGAAAGCGCTAAAAATTCAGGCGTTTATCAATCCGTGTTTAATCGATCTGGGATTCGTTCTCCAGACCCAGACGTAGTAGTGCGCAACTTGTCACTACACCGCAACCACTCAAATTTTGATTTTGTTTAAAATAAGGTTAATAGAAGAACGTCATCAAGTACCTCGGACTTTTTAGTTATGGCCAGTTACGAGCTTGTTTACTATTTTGTACTGCTCCTCAATTCCTTTGGATTTAGGAATTCTTTTTGGGATGCCAACTGGTCAAGGATGAAAATTTCCCAGGCCGATTGCCGCAGATACGCTGAGCATGCCTTAACAAGTGTTTGGGCGTTATAATAGCAACATCGATATGATCGGAATGATTATTTAAACAGCGAGTTCCATGACTGCTTGAGGGAATAGGCTTTTTGTGAGGACCAGCTACCCGATAATCTTTCCCATTATCATTCTAACTGAGGATACGCGGTCTATGTATGGGTAATAGGAGAAAAGAATGTTGTTTCTGGCGGGCCTATGAGACTGATTGTCGTTTTTGAAAATTCTACAAAAAACTTCTGAAGAGACTCACCGCCATGTTCTCTCGAAAACGTAGACATGTTGCTTCTTCCCACATCCGGATGCCTCGACGGATCAGATTTTGAAAATTGTCTAAAATTTCGTTTTTAATGACAAGCTCCGAAAGAGTATCGAATGAATCCCTCAAAGACTCGATCAATTATGTATACACTGCCTACAATACCACCAACAGTAGGCACAATTATTCTTTTTTTTAACGATCCATAAATCTGTCGGGTTAGGCGCCGCATAGGTCACACAATCACTGTCGTAGGCAATCTTGTTGGAATTATGCGTTGGAACGTTGACTTGCGATGTTTAAACGACCTTCGAGTCAGGGTTCCGCCTTCTCATCTCAGTGATAATTACCCAGAAGAGGTAGAAGATCCGGTCAGCCTTGACTGGATTGCCCTACAAAAAAGTGCTAGTGAAACACCTCTTTGGCCATAGGCGCTTCCGCCCATAAATTCATACATTGATTTAATGGGACACTTATTTGATCCCACTAAACCAGGAGGACTAGGAAACGCTGCAAACATGCATATTACATATATATATATGTATATGTATAAATTATATTAGCTTCTTTTATATTCCGCCTGTACTGTCCTAAGTTGGTGGGGTACGTTACGAGGAGGTGAAGCCTGAAAATTGAACACTGGCGGCACTCCTACGTCACGTCCATCCACCGGCTTCCTCAGGTGGGTTCATACCCTCATTTTCTTTATATGAAGCTGTCATACCCTATTATTTGTTTTGAGTCAAAAATTCCTATATATAGTAAGGATTCCTTGTAGATTATTTTGATTTTATCTTTTTGTATAAAAACTTTCCCAGGTTATCATTAAACAAGTAAAGAGTAAATAACCGATCCGATAACCAGGCAAACAAATAGAGATAACAAAAGCGTTATGTCGAAAACTTATGAAAAACAAAATTATAGGAGGTGGCATTGTCAGCAATCAACATAAATAGTACAGTTGGAGGTCAATTTGTTGTGCCGTCTATATCCCTCACGTAAGTTTAGCTGCTCGCACTCCAATGTTTGAGGGACGCTAAGGGGCTTGGAATCAAATTCCAAAACCAGTCGTGAAGTTGATAAAAAATTCTTTCTTTTCCTTACATTCCCCGATAGTGACCTTGGAGTAGTCGCTGCTGTATGGGCTTGGTAGCATTGGTGGACTAACTGAACTGCTAGGCGGACTTCACTCCTCTTAAGACACAGATTGATGAGTCAGAACGGTGAATTCGTATTTCCCACCATTCCCCATGTTTCTTTATCATCACCGATTTTCCAAGTAGGAATGATCGTAAGAGTTAAGAGGAGATTCTGCTGCTCATTCCTAATGAGTAAGATTCCTCTGCAAAGGGAAGGGTTGTTTACAGCGCCGTTTTGCCTCCTAACTCAGGGCTAAAGCAAAAAGGCTAACACAAATTAGAGATTCTAAAGTGAACATTGCTACAAGTTCAATTCGGGAATAAGCCATGCTCATACTCCCATCCAAGAGATTGTATTTAAATATATAGGCTGGTTAGTTAGGATAATATGAAAGGAAGTCTGGAAATGTAATCGTTTTCTCGGAAGCTCTTGCCGAGGTTTAGGCTGGCCTTCGTTGTTGTATCAATGGAATCTGTCACAAAAAACCGGTCTGCTGACGTAGTGACATGTGTTCCCTGTTGAACCTATTGGCCAAATTCGTTATGGTTTACAAATTTCCTTGAGTATTTATAACTCATCAGATAGGAGCGGCAAAGCTGTAGGGAATTACTCAACCGGTTCTAGACCGTCAAAGTAATGTCTTGTTTCACAAACTTTTCGTGAAAATTAGCTGAACCCTTTTTCTTTAAAGTCAGAAGAGTTGAAATAGTTGCCAACAGACTTGCGCCGGTTTAAGCGTGGCTTTGGGGAAACGTTGTAACCAACTACTGGCTCAACATTATGAAAAAGACTTGTTTTCTCTTATTACTTAGTTTCTCTACAGAACCGCTTTTCCCCAGGGTTATTCAAGCATCACTTCCTTTCTGGTTTGAATGTGTTAAACACTTTCTGGGCAGACCAACGACGATTGGTGGGTAACAGAAGAATGAAAGGCTTCTAGTACCTCTCTACCTGACCATCCCCACATAAGGGCATATCAAAGATAAATGCGCTTCCCTTACCCTTACGTCCGTTATCCACCCCCTCACTATCCTGTGAAGCATTTCGATGCTTGTTCTGGTCGTGCTGAGTTATGGTGGTTGGATTTACTTCGAAACGAGTTGGATGTTTGCCAAGCACGGCCCTGGACGCAAGCGATGTTCACTGGAACGAAGAGAAGGACGTATCCTCTGAATCTACAGCGACAAATTTCCGCCTCTTCACAGACAGGAAATCCGCCAAAGAGGAGCTTTGTAGAGGGTAAGGCAGACAGGACGAGTGAATTGAAATGATGAGGATTTTATTAGAATTCTCATCGAAACTCCCATAGTTGTGTCCACCGCCTTAATGAGTTTGGGCTCGTCAGCCACACGATGGCCCCAAATGGGAATCGCTATCGCTTCCACATAAGCACTGCAATTATGAAAAGATAGTGAGATTCCCCGCAAAAGAGCCGCAATGGGCCACAAGCGCATACGTGTGGTAATGGCGGAAACGGGTTTGCAGTATGGGGATTTGTATAGAGATCGAATAAACCATCCATTCCCCCAGATATCCACTTTTTCCTTGGCAAATGATGCCTTTATTCTGTTGCCGTGTACTGTAGTCTAGTGCAGGCTTAAAAGAAGCAGCTGATCGGAAGAACTCATAAGTCCCCCCTCCCGAGACATCCACCAACGAGTGGAGCAACTGGATCCACTTGGATCTGGGAAATTCATTTTCGAAACGTGTGACACTTTACCCATCTTGTCAGGAAGATATTACGACCCGTCAAAAAGTACTTCTTTTTTTGGTGGGGCCGAAAGGGAAAGTGGTCGTAGTGGATGTGTGCGCGGGTAGCTTTACAGGTCTGCCCCTCCATCCAGCCACCATGTGAACGAAGCATCGCTGCCAATCACACATACACATCCAGTTGATCGGGTCGTCACCGTAAGTGGTGTTCTATGCCCATGTCCCTGACTCCCAGGCAAATCATTTTACGAATCGATCGTTTAATCATCGTACGCGTAACAATTCCTATTTGTGGATGACTGCCCGTCTCGAAAAACATGGAAAGAGTTTTTCAATTGTTTCGTGCATTTGAGAAGCAATTTAACGTCTGACGTTGTCGTCAGCGTTTCTAAAATACTCAAAACCAGAACATCCGACAATCAATCATACAAATCGATGCATAAGACAATCGATCAGATCACTGAAAACACGCTGTATAATGTCTGTGCTATTGTCTCGTCTCATGAACACCGATCTAGTCCGTAACATAACACCCCATCAACAACATGGCTAACTGCTATAGCCTGCTTAATCGAATCGTTCTGGAAGCTGGTGCCTGGATGGAACCCAATAAAAACTTGTTACTTGGATTACAGCTCGACCTGGGATCGAAATGGTTCTAGTCATCGACTTTCAGTTTAAATTTCGAGCCATTTGTGGTCGTCCCTGAAGAGTTCGACCGGTTATTGCTGCTAGAGCGATTCACCACCACCACCACCACCACCATCATCATCGCGGCCACCAAGCATCAATGCGGCTTTAGCTATGGCTTAAGCTGGTGGCTGCTGCTGCTGCTGCTACCAGCCTGTGACTTGGTACATCGATAAACTCATAGCGCTCGATTGATTACACAATTTCATTTGCGAAAATCTCACAGGTCGATGATGAAGCAGAAACTTGAAGTGGCAGAAAACTGATAGATCGAATGGGCGAACGCATGCGTAAGCCGCCAAAAGTGCTCTTACGCAATTGCCTGTTGACAAGGTGGATTTCATCGGGTCTACATGAATTTATGAACGATCGAATCGCTTGGGCGAAGCGAAATGTTCGAGTCGTTGCAGCGCTCTGATTGAAGCGTTGATCCCCGGTTAGCAGCTGGCTTATAGCGTCGTGTTGCTTGTTGCCTTCGATGGCAAGATACACTAATTACTAGTAAGAATAGCTGAACCCGTTATACGGGTTTTTAGCCACACTGTTGGGAAATGACCATCAGATCTAAGCACACCATCACTAGTGGAGCGAAACGAGTCCGGCGGTATGTAAGTACATGACGACAAACCGAAACGTCTCTCCAGTCGTTTCCCCATGTCTCACTACATGTGAAATATTCCCAGGCAACTTTGGCGCAGCTAATCTCCAGGCCTCGTCGACTAGCCATTCGCCAGTTATGTGGGCGAACAAAGAGTAGCGCCAGATTTGTTGGTAAATCCCCCGCTTGTGGATTGAGATTTGGAAGGAAATAAATATCGGTATTGGAAGACAGTGGACAATTGATTGAAGATCAGTGAAGCATATGAAAATGAATAGGAAAACAAACAACATGGAACAACTCACAATCGCCTCCCCATATTTGATATGGGATCTCATAGGAATTCCAATCATAAATCGGTCCGGCGATCACTTCACGTCGATGCCGATGCCATTTAGTTCGGCTAACTGATTCGATTACAGTATAATGTGGATATTTGTCGGATGCCATCATCTCCATTCCAGGAATATTGAGCACAGAATCATTACGGAATGTTTTGGACTGTACCACGACCAGTACGAATCCAGCGAGTGACAGCAGGAAGTCAAGCATTTTTGTTCAAAGAGCAATGATCTCGACCACGACAACGACACAGCAACGACTGCAAAGATGGCAGTGGCAGCGATGAATCGGCGAAATGCGGGGAGGAGTTTGACACCTGCCCGTGGCCTTTACGCTGCTGCTGCGTCGGCGGGTACGTTTAGTGCTAGCTGACGGGGCAGAAGACGTTCCCCGCCCACACCGGTCCATGTGGGCGGGCAGACCTACTACAGCAGAAGCTCAACTAAATCAAAGGACTGTTATGTAATAGACTGATCACGTGGTGAATGAACGATTCGGCGGAAGGAGTCTACGAAAGTCTCTCCTTTTTCCTACAAGCCAGGGCTTCTGGATGGAGTTTGACCAAATGGAACTGTCGTGGGATGGCTAATGATTTGAGAACTTCTTATTCCTACAACCTTCATCTTCTCTGTGCTACGATGGCTGCCTGGAAATCCTTCCAAGACCCAATGTGTTGTTCCCTTGCGGAGTTCAAGTCAAAAGATTTCGAATTCAGATGAAAGGTACTCAGGCACAATGCGGGTTTCATCGCTACCGCTCAGCGACATCGTTTATCGTTTGCCACTCCACTGTTGGTGCGCCACGCGTTGATCTTCAGTTAAAGGTTGCTGGTGGTGGGCCTGATTGGTTTGTTAGTATCCAAGCCTGGATCTGAACTATGGATCAAGCGTTTGGCAGCGATATTAGATAGAAACTTTTTACCTGCAAACACAGAACGAGGATCACCGTACGCCATCTTCTCAGTGCGAAGCTCGACAAAGTGAAAGTTTTACTGCTCTTCAGCTTTTGGAGAAAAACAGGAGTCCCCAGAAGTGGCGGTTTCCGCCACCAGCCCTCAGAAAGATACTGGAAATACTGAACATCGATGGCGCAATGGTGGGAGCGGCGTCTAGTGCTCATTTTACCAGCATAGTTCCTTCCCAAGCCATTCAGCCATTCCGTATGGAAAAATTCTTTTGAATGGCTTGGACGTCTTTGAAAAAAAAAGCGTTGGGATTGGGAGGAAGCGAAATACTTTCACGAGCACTTCGATGACACTGCACGCATTGGAATATCTCTTCAAACGAGAGCATGGCGTATACCATGCCCTGATCGGCTTCCTGCTATACACCATTATTCATTGATTCATTAGCATAAATCCGAATAATGAGTTTTCTCGCTAAACAGAGCATTGAAGAGCCAAAAATGGCTACGATTTACGGAAGGCAACATGCCCATAAATTTGTTGGAACGATACCTAAACTATACTAAACTTTGTTCTGGAAGACTACGACTGCTATGGGTTCTGAAACAATGGGGAAAGCACCTAAGATAAGGTTTTTGGAATAGCTTGAGCCAACCAAATTTACGGTTTTTTCAAGTGCGATCGATTAGTCAGGATAAACAATGTGTCCTGCATATTGGACTATTCTTGCAGAAAAGAACGCGTGGCGCATTCCACGAGATGATGAACAGCGTTGGGCATCCGACTTTGGAACTGATGCACCGTTTTGGAATAAGTGATTAGAGAGAAGTGAACAGAAGTGGCGAGAATGGTTGCCCAAAACTGTATTTCTATCTCCTGTATCATTCGATTACATGATATCAGCAGTTACTTTACGTCGCAGCAGTTTCAAAGTACATGATTAACGAGTGTCTTACTTCCAGACTAACTTAAGGACTATGCAATAGTCGCTCAATAAAATACGCCTTACCTCTTGGGTTAAGATTTGCGTTGGATTGAGAAAAACTGACCATTCAAGGTAGTAGCGCAAGGTCACTGCATTTTATGAGTAACCTGTTCGCGAAAAACTTATATTGAACTTATTGCTTGCTGGCGTCATCGAACCCTATCTCGAAGAAGACCTTTGAAGTGCTCTTCTCAAAAGAGGCTGATGACACTATCGGAAAATGGCATCCCAGATTAAGCCATCAGGCCAAGGCCGTAGGGCTACTTTGTAAACTCGACTTAAGCACGGGCCCGCACTACTTTTCTACGCTTTGGTTCCAAAGAACGAGTTTTCTGTAGGCACTTAAGCTCGGAAAAATTTTTGAAGCGAGTAGAGGTGTATAAAAGCCAGCCAGCTCTTCCACCACTCCATGATCGCTTACTTGGATCCAGAGCCATACGATAAGACAAAGAACATTACTTAGCCTGTTGGTCCCAGGCAGCCTCCGCAAATCCTTATATGACCCGAGTACCTATTGGGCTGTCCCCAAATGAGGGTCGAGTGCGTGGCGCGTCTCGGGACTTGACTTCTACCTTGTCGACTTTGAATTGTGTGTCATTCGAAGGCAGAGTTGGAGGCAGCAGTAAACGAGATTTTTCTTCTTGAGCGTCGCCCATTTTTCATAATTGGGAAGGAAATTGGGTGGTTAGGATGAGCGTTTCAGCTGACTTCATTTAGGGTGTTCTTAAGTTGCGAGTTTGGAGTCAGAGTAATCAAAGTAAGGCATCTTGATTGCTGATCGCACCTTAAGATCCATATTCATAACTTTGATGATGTCGAACTGCCACTGGACACGACGTTTCCAGTCTTTGTACTCTTTGTTCCACCAACATTCAACAATGACAAAGTAATCGTCACATTGTTGATGTGTGACATCTTTGATGGAGTCATAAAATACATTCGGCAGTTCCACATAGACGTTTCCTCCCATCTTTTGCACTCTACTCCTTTTCACAAAGTTCGATACAATTTGGAGCTATTCAAAACCTCCTGTCAATAATCCCTCAGTTGGAACTCGTTGGCAGTGACTTCAAGAAGGAACAAAGAGGGAAAGGGCTCAACATGTCTACAAAAAAAAAGTTTCTGGACGTATCTGGTAATTATCTGTAGTGTTGCTTCGTATAAGCATTCGATAAAAGAGAAAAAGTGAAAAGTTTTTCGGCACTGGAAAAAGTGCATATGAACTGTGCGCAACCGCAGCGTAGCGCAGAAAAGTGATCTTTGCGAATTCATTGGCTAATCTTGGATTTATATAATTCGGCCCCGTGGTAGACTTTTTCTACTAAAACTCGTCGTATAGTTACCGGTTGGTCTTTTTAGGGTAAAATTCAGTTGTATGGTTGGCTACCCTTCCTCCAAGTAACAACTGCGTAGTACTCAATACAGTACTCCATGAAGTTTTCTGCGTGGAACCTTTCTTAGATTGGCAGGTCGTTATAACACCATTCATCTGCAAAATATGGACAAACTGATTATAATGAACTACAAAACAAGAGGACATAAAAAATCATTTTAGAAACTCATATTTCCTTCTTTTTTTATTTTTTTCTCTTCTCGTATCGTAAAATGAGCAAGATCAGCAGAAGCTGTGTATTTAGTATTGAGTATGACTTGTGAAAAATGATCATTTACTGGTTCTTGCGAAAAAAGGAAATATCTGGAGTTCGCTGAATTTCGCTTTATTATTGCATTATTTGAATTCGAAAAATGGTTCTCCAGTATGAGATAAAATAACTCGCAATAAAACGTTTGGATAAGTAACTAATAGATAATGTAATTCAATGGACAATAACCACGGTAACAGGAAAATTTAAAAAATTGAATAATAAATCAATGTAAACCCAATGAATAATTATTCAAAGATCTTTCTTGAATTGGTGAAGTTAACAAACTCTACTTATTAATGATTATCTGCTTGTTGTTGTACTTGTTTTTTTTTCAACAATTTGTTTTTTTTCTCCAAATCAACAGTATTCCACAGAGCAAAGTAGAGAGGCTTCTTTACATGCCTAAAAATGTAAAAAATTAATCGTCCATATCCTGACTGCTTAGTGAAAAAATCAGGTGCCGAAACTTTCAAAAGAAAAATCCAGTCTCGTGCACACCCAAAATTGGCCGTATGACGACCTTCTAGAGCTAAACCATTCACCATGAAGCGTTAGGACGCCGACGAATAGTACGCCTGTGTGGGAGGCGTCCAGACGGTTACAGACACATAATCTCATACAAGCTCCTTTCTTAACACCTCCTTTAAGCTAGGTACCTCGAATTTACCATGAACTGTAAGTCTATTAGACACAACTGGGTTATACGATACTGACTAGATATTAGCCGTTCAAAAGGGTTTTGCCGAGGAGTTCGGTATCCAGCGAGAATCCATCACATTCGCATTTTTTAGTCATCGTTCGGTTCCTCAGATCTCCCATTCTCCCGTGAATTCGCGGCTATTTGTCAATGGCTTGCTGAGACCGATCACGTTTACTCAAAAAAGAAAAGGTCTTCGGTGTTTTTTCTGGCTGTTGTCTCCTCATTTATGAAACCTAATGAAAGCGACTTTATCAGGTTCCAGTGAGTGGAAATGGCAAATAAAATCTTTGTAAGGTTCTCTTTTCCTTCTCGGCATACTACGAGGCTGCAGCGAAGGTTGTTGTTTTTGAGCAAGTGCTTCAGCTCCAACTAGGCCAAGTCTGGCATCCCACTTGTCTTCTTAGCCTCTGATTCGATTCGGAAGTCAAGTGAGGCTTGACTGTATTGTTAGTGTACTGTATGGTATACTAGGTTGGTGAAGCTACTGTTTGCAATTAGCCATGGAGAGAAATGAGAAAATGTATGATTTGATTGCTATAGCCAAACCATTGCGGTATAGGCCACAGTTCTACTCTCATTCTAAATTATTTGGATGATTGAAAGCGCACATAGGTATAGAATGGTCACAGGAACTTTGGCCGTACGTGCATCTCCGGTTGAAGGCTCACCTTTGAAAAATGATGAAAAACGTAGTTCATACTGCAAAAACCCGTGAAAAGCAGTAAAAAGCAATCCTTCTGACCAAAGCAGTAGTCAGCCTATGATAAAAAGAGCCGGATCGGCTAAGATTGCTTCTGTTCTTGTAATGTTACTGGCATTTTAGGTTTTCGATTTACTTACAATGACTTCACAGTAAAGAATTGTGTTCAGGAGGATGTTACGTGAACAACTACAACAATTTACGGGAATCCACTTAGTAAAAGAGCCACCGAGGCTAGATCAATCATTTGCGGGAGCAACAAAAACCTAGAGTACGGTACTTTTTGATATTTATTAAAGCAATTTTGAGCAGACTAGTTTCATCACGTATTTAAATTCGAAAAAAGTTGTTGTGTGGATGAGACTTGTCACGGATGCTCGCATTCGGAATCTGAAGAACCGACTGGTAACTAAAAAATGCGAGTGTGAGAATCCCAGGTGGGACCGACATCCCAGCAGCCATGGTAAAGTCCCTGGATATCATTAGATTAGTTTTTTTTATTCAGAGATACTACTGAATTGAGATTTTGAGAGCGGCAGCGGCACAATAGCAACAAAAACTTTTGAAAGTCCTGGTTGGCTTAGGTGGATATCGGTCCAGGATTCAAACCTCTGACCGTGCGTGTGAGATAGTGCACCACCTGCCCTGCCATTACCTCCGCTCTATTCAGGTAGTATATCGCCAAGAATGAGTTAGTTGGAAAACTGCCAAATCTTTCGCTCCACTTGTACTGAAGGGCTTGCAATTTTTTGATCATAGTTCAGTGTCAGCTATCGCTTCAGTTTTTGCAAATGTTGTAATGAAAGTGCGGTCCGAGTAGGTTGGGAAATGAATGTTTCACTGAAGCTGCCTGTAACTACCCATGAAATGTACGTAGGGTAGTTACAAATGGCGAAGCTCATGTATGGTTCAAGGTCCTAGCGTCTAAAAGAAACTGCTGAGACTGAGGGTAAAGTACTGACTTATACGGCCTGTTAAAACTCTGTTAACCTCACACATGTCAGTATTTTCCTCCAAAAAACAGAAACAAAAGCTTGTACATTTTTGATTAGAAGTGGTCTGCATGGCGTAGCGGATTTCACTAGATATTCTTATTCGGCTGCCATTTTCAGATAGAATACCATCGTTTCTTGAAAAGTGGAATTTGGCACGGATGAACGGCTCTCTCAAAGATTCATGAAAACTTCTCGTCGCTTTTTTAAGTCCCATCCAAGATTATCGGCCCAAAGGGCAAATGCGCAACAACCCATATGACGCGGTACGCGATATGATTGGGAACGGGATCGAAAAACAAAAGCTACCGTGTATCTCGCGAGATTATCTGTGTTACATCGTCAGATAAACTGGAACTACTGACGGGAAACATGCTAGCTTTGGCATAATTGACCTTCTCCCGCTTGAGAGTCTCAAGGCCCGACTCAGCCGAAAGCTGAATCTTCCCCCTCGATCCACGCGCCCATAAACGCAGACAGTCAGACGACACCCAGGCCGGCTGGCATCATACACTCTACAAACTTGTTCGACGACCACACTTAGGATTCAAAAGCTGCTGTGTATCTGTATTGACGATCCCGGATCGATTATTTATTCCTACCTACACGATGATCGGGATGTTCATTGCAGTTTTTTGACTGAAGTTTTTTGGGGGCCGTTTGATTCCCTATTGCCCAACTACTCAGAATCAAGCTCAACGCCTCTTCTTTATCACTCGTTCCTGCTGCGTCGAGGTGATCACCCTGGAAAAGGCTTCCCATGTGTTCTATATTTCAAAAAGGTCTGTGAGGAAAAGATACGACACACGCTTGTCGCTGAAACTGCTGGTATTAGCTGAGTTGACCGGAACGATCAGCCCGGCATGAGACCTTTGAATGATTCTACCAGCTTATCAGCCACTTCAATCGTCTAATTGAAATCACGTGTCTGAGAGAGTTCGTTGAGCGGAGCGTCCTTTCACCAGAGAAGCCGTCGGTTTCTCGCTCGGTGGATCGCCGAAGTCATCGCCTCGTAGTTGCGTAACATCATTACGCTGCGCTTGGCGAACAAGTCTCGGTGACCTTCGCCTACCACATTTTCACTTTCCCCTGGCTTCAAATCAGGCTTTCATCCGAACTCGCTGCCCGAAAAAAGCCACGTGGCAGATTTCGATCTGTACAAGCTGTCGACAAATCGTTGGAAGAAAAACGAAGGGACTGCTTTGGAGTTGATGTAGTGAAAGAAACAAATCTCTTCTAATTTCCCGCCTTGAAGATAAAGTAAAAGGTTCGATCTCCCTGGGAGTGTCAGCCGTCAGAAATAATCGGTGTGGTGACTTGTTGAATAGACTCTTTGTCTCAAGAGACAATCCCAAAAGTACCGTATGCTATAATCAGCTGTTTGCGACGGCTGTCATGGCTTCAACTCCTAATTTCCTTGCTTGATCGTCCGCCTTTATACTCGACTAGCATCCACAGTCCGCGATCCTATAATCACCATAGCCCAAAGAAGTCTGCCTGCAGGCTCAGACAACTCCGATAGTGGTTGTTGATCCGCCGGAAAGCTTACCATTGGTAACGATCACCGACTTCGAGGTGAAAAAAGGGTTGTAGAAATATTCGAGATCCTAAAGTGTAGATATGTAGGGTTGGAATCATTGAGGTCGTTGAGGTGGCGTTTCACAAGAAAGGACGAAACATCTATCAAATTGGTTTGGGGAGGTCCGGTCCGGTGTCCAGTTATCAGGGCTCAAGTTGACTGATGAATTCTAGAGTTGGATCGAAGGCTTTGCTTCGATGTCACTATCATTTCGAGCTTCTGATAAAAGGATTGGTTAGAGAACTTTGTATACGTCGTTTTGAACCCATGTGTCACCCTTTTGGTCCCTTATTAATTTTTGCTTCCAGTATCGAGCAGCTATCAACAGACTTCATTCATTAGGTTCATTCCTGAAAGGAAGTGATAGCAAATTCTTTTCGAAAAATTTAAATGGGCCTCAGTGAATTTCTTCAGTGAGACCGAGACAGTTAGTCTTAAAATGAGAAAATAAATTTTCAACAATTTCTGGTTCCTTTTCTTTATGCACCATTGATATTTTCGGCTGTCTGAGCTGCATTTTTGTCCCGGTCATATCAGGAACCGGAGAACGAGTCGGAAATATTTGCTTTAAACAATTTGCAGTGCCATTTTTGGTAATTTGCTATGACTATGTAAAATTGCATGTCTGCTGTCAGAATTCTCTAAAAATGAACAGGGCATTCAAGTTGTGATATATAGTTCGGCATTACTTATAATCGTTATGTACTGTCAAAAAGGAAAATAAAAGACCATCAGAACCCACATCTGACCACGACCAATTTTCCATGCCCCTGTCTAAGACCCTTAGCTAAACTAAAGTGTTCTAAAATAAAAGTTGTATCGAATAATGATACTGGAGTGATTTGTGTAGATGGTGTTTTGAGTGAACCAAATTCATCGATTAGGATTGAAATTCGCGACCGATTCCTACCTTCGCCTTTTTGCCACATCGAGAAAAGATGACCATGCACTATCAAGGATAACCAAAGATCAGTGGCGTGTTGGGGCGTTCCATTCCTCTTTCGGATCGCCATAATACGATCCTTAGGAGTAATGTTTTTTTCTGGTTTACTTCTGCACTGTGGGTTTTGTAGAAAATTGTGGATGCGTAGTAGCTCAGCCATTGTACATAGAGCAATGCGGAAGGGGAGAGAAGCCAGTCGAGATACTGAAACTTCAAAGATCTTCAGAATTGCACCTCATGGAGAGAACTACAAAAAAAAACTGGAAAAAATAGCAGTGATAAGCAGGGAAACTAGCCCAATATTGATCATACGTCACTTCAGATTGCTGTTTGTGGATGAAGTGGTGGAACTGAGAAGCCAGGAATTCTGCTGCTACCTAGTAACTAGACGTCCTTTCCAACTTATTGTCTGGCACTTTTGACAAGCAACAGGAGAGAGTAAAATAGGCGCAAGGGGTACGAACTAGCCTGCGAAAGGAGAAGGCAGGTCAGTTCATCATCTGTCCAGACTTTACATTCACTTTTTTCGCTCAATCCACATTATTAGTACCTATCGAGTGTGAACTTCACAAAGAAACTTACGTAGATCCTCACTTTCTGCGTTTGGCCAGTGGCGGTGTAGGGCAAGGAGAATCTAAAAAATGGTATCGTCCCTCTCATGTCTCATAACATTCGGATTTCTGTGAAAAGCAGCCAGAAAACTGATTACGACGAGAGCTGGTTGGTATGCAAGCTACTAAATTCAGTATTCAGTATGTAGTAAATAACTGACTTCTTAAGGGCATCGGACTGCCACACCTTTCACTTTTGATCAATCGTTCGTATTTTTTTTCGCTCTCTAAGGGCTTACCAGTTTGACACAGGGATTTTGAGGCTTTGTGTAGCCACTCACGTGTTGATACTACAAAAACCTCAACTTGATCTGCTTGTCATTGATTTTGCTCTTACAGACTGCTTTTATTTGTGAACTCAAACCTCCTTTCATTCTTATTTTTCATGTTTTGTAGGTTTCCCACACACGGATATTTTCGTCGGCCAGCACCGCGCCAACTGAGATGACGCCAAGCATACTCGTTTTTTAGCTTAGAGGTGATATACGTATGTATCTTACTTTAAGAAGAGATTTTACACTCGGCTAGTTGTGATCCCCTTCAGAAACGAGTACTTCGAAAGATGATTTCCAGATTGAGTGAAGTTTAAAATAAACACCGGTGTAAACATCCGGCTCTATCTAGGTGTTTTTGCCTCGGATTAAGATCTGCAATTTTTCGCAATTAATCTTCTTCTTCCCTTTAGCGTCACCCCACCAAGGAGCTCGATGTTCGTGTAGGGTTTCGCCACTTTCTCATCTTTTTTTTCACCGGCTTCATTTCCACCTCCTTTCAAGTGCTGAGAGGATGAGTAGTTATGCGGATAGAGCTCCTATCAATACATTACTAACTAGGTAACTATACGACTCCTACAGTTTCGTTCAAAAATCGAATTAATCATTTCTTATGAAATCCATTTCCCTCGAAGTCTTGCAAGTTTTCTGCAGCTGGCTGGATCTTTGGCGTTTCTACAGCCTCAGGGGCAGGGAAGGGCCCAGGGAACATTGTCGTGCGATACGTTGCGAGTTTCTGAACATAGATTTTGCCAATATGAAACAAATTTCGTGGCCCTCAACCCTTGAGACTTTTGGTAACCAGCAATAGTTTCAGCCATAACGCATAGCCTGGAATACAGTATAAGGTAGTGCGAGAGCCCCAGCAGGCTAATAATGTTGGGATTCGGGTCCCACGCCAACCTAGGAAATATCCCTTTTCAGATGAAAAAGCACGCTTTCAAACCGCCCTCTTTGCAGTGTGTGGAGGCGAGAAAACTGACGATCAGTTTCTGATGGTTAATCTGATTGAAGTTCAGTAGACGAACAATCTAAAGGTGACCTGGAGAAGTTGCTTTGCTGTGATGATTACGAGGAAGACTTCTTTCAGATTCGTCCAAACACACAAGCCTTTCAAATGGATTCTCCTTGATAAGCCGCTGCTAATTCAGTCAACAAAACAAAGTTCAATGATATCTGGGAAAGTATTATTTAAGACCGCTTTCCTGGAAGGGTTCATTCATTGTCAGTTATGATCTCGTGAAGTACAATCAAATCGAAATGGAGGACGAGTCATTTACTGGTTAGTTTGCTGGATGGTGCATGGAGATAGAATTCCATGTGGAATTTTAAAATTCAGATATAACAACTACAAAATCTCTCGCCAGCTTTACCATCAGTACTGACAATGAGGCAAGCGAGCGCCTGAAGAAGCAAAAAGAAGTGAGTGTTGATTTCGTTCCACTCACATTCATTTCGATAGTACATCTGGTGCTATAACAGCGAGTTCTTTTCAGAGTCTCGCTTCTAAGCAGAGCTCAAGAGCCAAGGTACCGTCATGGTATGCCACGGATGTGAAGGGACAGAACGAAGAGAAAGCTGTACAGACGATTGCACCGAAAGTACGTTCTCGAACTTCAAGGTCTGGTAAGGTGCCAGAGAATTCTTCAAGCAATGCTACGGCCGTGGTGCTATAACGATATGGAGATTCTGGCGCATTGCCAATTGCACATTTCGGTGGAAATGTAGTTGGGGGGGGGGGGCCACCCATCCGAAGGTC